AACTACTACTAGGCCTACATTGTTAAAGTGTTTTTCTACAGAGTTGTGTGTTGTGCTTTATATACAGTACTGTACAAAAGTGTTCTGAGAAATTGATATGTAAAGCTGTTTATCTGGGCAGTAAGCATGCATTTGTCCAAAAAGCACTAACATTAAGATAAATGCAAATAAATAATGCAAATAAATAAATAAACAGTATGTGTGATTTTGTGTGTTAGCTTAACAATTTCTAAATTGTTCCTTGAAGAAGCCCATATTTACATTTGCCATTCAATACCCACTTTAGCCCATATGAAAAATTTAGTTTTCCATTCCATTTTTCAAATTAGACAGTTTGATGTAGTGTGTAAACACTGGTAAAGTTTTACAATGTACTGTTCACTCCCCAGTCTATACAGTCTAAGGCTAATGTTTGGACACTTTCCAAGTGAAAATAATTGAACACATCCTTTACAGGGAACAAACTTAAATATGGCACTTTAAAGAGAAATTGTAAAATCTGAATAAGGACTGTTTATGGTACATAAAAGCACATAAACGATAAACCTGGAGCTGGGGGGGCAGGGATAAAATACAAGGAAAATGTAATAAATAAGATGTGCTGCTGGTAGCATTTGACATTGAGTGTTCTCCTAACTGTGTTCTTCTAACCAAGATATTTATAACATTAAAAAATGTATATATATTCTTGTTAATGTTTTACATTATTTATATTTATTTGCATGTATTCTATTGTTATATATTGTTTTGTGTGTGTGTGTTTGTGAGACAATGAGTAAGACAATTTACATATGATGCCACTCTATGGTTTCTTTCGGCTGGTAGAGTCTCAGTCTCCTGCTGGCCCTTTCCTGTTTATGTGTATGTGTGAGAAGTGCTGTGAAGGCTCATTGTCCTTATTTACCTTAGAATGACTGTGTCTAACTTGTGGCCTAATATATTGTGGTTTGGCTTTAGCTTCAGACGACGCAGAACAATTCCAAAAGCCTGCCGGAGCCATTTTTATGAAGCATTTCTTGAATTCTTTTTCAGTGTGAAGTTTTTACATTGCAGCAACTGGGACTGATATAGATGGATATCATGAGGGTGCAAATTGAGTTTCTTACAGTAGCGTTCTTAACATCTGGCCCACGAGCACCATTGAACTGCACATTTTACTGTTTCCATCAATTCAACTCATCAGCAAACAGCTTGCCCCTCACGGGTGCACAGGGAGAACAGTGAAGGGTTTCAAAAGACATTAAACACCACATTCATATTTTTTTTCATATGTTGTTAGGAGTGGGCTTTATACATAAAAGATTAATACCACCTTTTTAGAAAAAAATACACATATATTATTGCTGCTGCACGAAAACCGAATGTTGATGAAATGGAAAAGTATCCTTCCTTATCTATGGTAATGTAACATGATTTTATTCCGTTTAATTTTGGATCATTTTTATTTGTCTATTGCTATAGTTTGCACTTTCTTTTAGGTGTGTTCACTATATAGAATCTATTTTTAAAGTGAATAATTTTCAAAGCCCAGACTTCTTGACTTCAGTCTTCAGTCAGGGCATGATGAGTAGTTGATTATCAGGTGTGCTTGTTACATAAAAAGTGCGACCACACGGGGCTTTCCAGACTTTCCACATTTCTTTGTGAATTAATGGAAGCATGTCTCTGAAGCTGTCCAGTAGTTCATATCCACAGCACTAGTGTAGTAGAAAGGTGTTGGCCTTTACCTACAACCCCACCCAATTCCTGAGTAAGCCTTTCTGCTTTTGGCTGTAGGGAGCGAAGGCCTGCTTCCTGAGAGACATTCCTTTCTCTGCCATCTACTTCCCTGTGTACGCTCATGCCAAGACAGAGCTAACTGATGAGGAGGGCAGACTGGGGGCAATTCAGCTGCTTATCGCTGGAGCTATCGCAGGTGCACAACTGCTCTTATCTTCATCATAAGCATCAGCGGCCGAAACAACCAGTATAGCTTTAAAAAGTTCTCTGTAACATGAGGGGAGTGATATTTTTGATAAGGCAAGACTGGCATATATTGCTTCTGTAGTCAGGAAATGCTACACTGCAAAAAACTGAAATCATTTAAATCATCAGATCTACTCAATATGTGCAACATTTCCCATTAAGTTGGCCTGATTAAGATACTATAGCAACTGCTGAACAACACCCTAGCAACCACCCAAAATACCATAATCAACAACACCCTTGCAACCACCTGGAATACCATAGCAACCACTATTTAAACAATGAAACAATGAAAATAACTCCTAAACCTAAATTAACCCAAACCAACTGCATAAACGATATCGCTCCTGTACTATTTAAACCCAATCAAGTTAAATACAGTCTACAGCTGCTTTAGATTTTCAACATTTTTAGCTGCTTTTGTCAAGCCAACTTTGTTTGTTCACAGCCTTTTCCTTTCTAGTTAGAGATGATATCTTTTCAAGGGAAATCATCTTAAAACCAATCAGTATATCTAATATTTCTTATTATGATAATTACAATTATAAAGAATTACTGCAAGAGTATTATAAAATATTCTTATTTCTTATTTCTATTTATACTTTAAGTAGTTTGAATGTAATGCTCTTATTAAGCCTCATCAAACCAGTAGCTTGGAATGAACAGACTGCTCATCATTACTTTATCAAGCAATAACTAGGGCGAATTAAACATTTTCCAGCAGCATTTGTGTATCTACATCTTAATCTTGTGCACAAACCTCAGCTAAGCATAGGATCTATAATGTGCTTCTGTTCTTTCAAGTCATATCAATACCTCAAAAAAAATCAGCTCTAAATAAAGACGCACTATTTTATTCTACAGTAAAGATTTCTAGTGTTAAGTTCTGGTGTGTAGGCCTTTTAAATATGGGCTCTGCATGTACTTGTGGATATCTTAATGTAAATAAATAATGTCCAAAGGATTATGATATGTAATGCACAAATAAAAGTGCTCTGGAAAATGTGTAATTCCCTCTAGTTATTGCGTAATAAAGTGGTAAGGAGTAGCCAGTTAATTATCGGCTATTGGCTGGAAAAAGCTTAATAAGAGCATTACAAGGGCATTATAATGTCCCCCTAGGCTAAAGTCTTACTGTAATTATATCTAGTAAAATGATTATTTTATTGGAAGACAGTTTTGCTTGTTTTGAAATAACTTGTACGATGATCTCTTAATGAGAAATAGGTATATTGCCTAGATTTTAGGTAATTTAAAGTGTAAATGTAAAAGTGTAGAAAGATTTTGCAGACTGTTAATGATGTTTCCCACCACTGGTGTAAATCTATACATTTAAAGTGCTATGTTGGGTCTGAAGTCTCTGCATGGTTTTTGATTACATCGCAGTGCTGGAAATTCAGATCAGATTGCATGGTTTTGCATTGTGACACCTCCTCACTGTACTGTGGATAATTGAATGCGTCTTGTTTAGGTGTCCCTGCTGCCTCTCTGGTGACCCCCGCTGATGTCATCAAAACGCGTCTGCAGGTGGCAGCCCGTGCAGGCCAGACGACATACAGCGGTGTGATCGACTGCTCCAGAAAAATTCTGAGAGAAGAGGGCTTCAAAGCGTTCTGGAAGGGAGCGGGAGGTACACGCACACGCACACGCACACACACACACACACACACACACACAACTGAAATGAGGGGTTCCATGACTGTGGAATGAGGAACCCAAGGCTTCTGTAATTGTTTTGTTGAAGATGACACTGTCCTTGTTTTATTGTGAGAGGGAAAGAGTATCAGTCATGCAGGCTCTGTATTCCTCTCTCAGCGCGTGTGTTTAGGTCCTCCCCCCAGTTTGGTGTTACACTGGTCACCTACGAGCTCCTGCAGAGGTGGTTCTACGTCGACTTTGGTGGACAGTACGTGCTGCATTCGTTTTTCCATTTCCATTTCAAAACCATTAAATATACATTCACTATGTAATTGAACTATATTTCTCTTCCTGAGCAGCCGTCCTGCAGGATCAGAGCCAAGACCCAAGTCCCGGATCTCTGAGCTCCCGCCGCTGAGTGCAGACCACGTTGGTGGTTACCGACTGGCCGCCGCTACGTTTGCAGGAGTAGAAAACAAGTTTGGTTTGCACCTGCCAAAGTTCAGATCTTCAGGTGCTGTAACCGTCAGAGCCACTCCAACAGAGCAGACACACCAAGCCTCATAGAGCTCTATTCAGCTCCAACCAGCTGTATGATTGACCATCAGCTGTCTTTGTGAGGAAAAACCTGTTTCTCTCTACTGCCCTTCGCTGCAAACTCAAACTGTGCCATTTAGATGCAGGGACACCACTCCTGTGCATTTAAACAAGGTGTTCTCCTTATTGTTCCCCACTCCTGCATGAACAGGGCTCTATTTATGTATTTATTACTTTTTTCGCATGGTTTGCACAAATGTTGCTGTACATATTGTACATGTGTGTGCAGGAATATTTCACGTTGGTGATAAACTGTGTTCCCCAAGAGCTCAGTGCATAATCTGAATCTGAGATCATATATGATCGAAATATACCATTGATACGATAGTACAACTTTTTCATGAATTGAAATCATAAGCTTGTATTTTGCCAACAGAAGGAAACTGAACATCAGATACATCAAAAATGTAATGTTTGCATATACACACATACTTTAGTGAATTGCACCTAAATGTGCCAAATGAAAAATGGAAAACATTGCCAAAGTAATGTTTGTGTGCAAATTTGAGTTTTGTATAAGCCCCTCCTTTAGGAACATGGCACTGTATCTGCACATATACTGACTGAAATGTTCCAACAGGGTGTATAAATAATTGATAAATTTAAACATATTTCAGTGTTGAATTTTATCAAAATAAATAACAATACTTTCATGTTAACTTGTGTATTTTCTTTCAAGCTCTTAATATTTTCTTTGCATATTTGTCTTAATATTTTTCATTGCTTGGAAAAAAAAAATCGCTTTCCATAATCATTTTTGTCCCAAGGCTGAAGACTTACTGAATCAACACAAGAAGCAGTTTAGGTTTAGAAAGAGGAATTTATAGAGGTATATAAAGACATTCAAAGAGGTGGAAGAAATGCTATTGGTTCATACAGGTTATAAACAGACTTGTAAAGCTGGAAGAAGAGCCTGTTTTTGAAAAACAATGGCTTAAAAATTTCGGCAGTCTGCTAACAATCATACAGCATCTTATTGTACATAATAAATATGTGATTCAGGTTCAGTATTGATTGAGAAGACAATAACCAGCAAATAAGTGCCAGAGATGGAGTAGCACTAGCAGCTGACAGTGAGTCTTAATCTTAGCTACCCAGAGAGACTAAGCAAATCCAGGGTGTCCATAAATTCACTCTGAAACTTTTAGCAAAAGTTAAAAAAGCTCTCTTGTAAGACAACAAACAAGTGCTTCCTTTTGTGAAAGATAGAAAAATAACAAATGCACAGGTATCTGTTTCTTTTTGTATGGATGATTATACATCAGGTGTCACTGTCCCAAAAGCCAAGTTTAAAGTGAAATCTATACTTTGATATGCCACTGTTTGAAACTGCTCTGGAACACTATGGCATCTGCAGCCTTTCAGGCAGGGCCACAGAAGAGTGCACGGAAAACAGACTAACCCTATGTATCAAACTAATGTCCTGATTACACTTTCAATTACAAAAGACAAGAGTGAATTCATAAACACACTCAGACTCCAGTCAACAAGAGTTCTGGAATTTATAGTATAAGACTGTATAGTTTGAAAATGATTAGGTGGTTTATGGAGCTTGTGTAAATAACACCAGAAATCAGCTGAATGTACCTTGAGGCCAACTAAGAAACATTCTTTCATGTTTTCTATGGGTTTTCTACATGCAATCTTTAAGGCTTCTGGTACTGGGGAAGAGAGAGGAACACTGGTGATATCTGAGCTGAATATACTAGTCCAGTCTCATGTTTTTTACTATTTGACCATGGCTTCTTTACTCAAACCCAAAGAAAAGGCAGAAGAATCCAAGTCCAGTTTGCAAATCATAGTACTACATTTTCGAAGTGGTCTTCATAAACATTAACATTGCCATCATCATGCCTGGATGGGGTGCATTTTTTTGCATTGAAAACCTGTAGCTGTTTTCAGGAATGGCGCTGATTAGGACGGGATTCGTTGGGCCGCCAGCTCCTCAGCGTCATCTCGGTTTTCGTTGATCTCTGCCAGTGTCCTCACAAAGCGTGTCCACTCATCGTTCCGTGGCACAGCAATCTGCTGTAGAGGAACAGATGCAGTGAAGCAGAGACATATAGCATTCTGCAGAACCCTTTTATCTAGCCCTCAAGCTGATGTGTAAAACCTGCAGTGCAATTCAGAGACTGTCACAGGACTGACCCCACAAAGGAGGATGCCAGCAACTAGTGCTGCTCTCCAGCTCACTGCCTCTCTCTTACACTCTCAGCGGTGCTCCACCTCTCCCAACATCTCTCTACCTGTCTGATTCCTTCTCTTGCAGTCACTTTCTGCCTCCTCTTTTTAGCAACTCTCTAATCTCTCGTTTCTCTTTCTTTCCATTTGCCCACTCAGCTACCCATTGCATGAGGGTCCCAGGCACTCTGCAGGCCCTGGCAGTGCTGGCCTTTGGGACCACTGACACTGGGTCACTGACAGAGGGTTAATTGTGGCCTGTGCATTAGGTTTCGAGTCTCTTTGCATGAGCCTTTTTATTTTGCTGTGTCTGGCACACAGAGAGGACAGCTACTAAACCAGAACATAACGAGATAGATACATCACATAGGAGTGTAGGATCCTGGTGAAGAAGCAGAGATACTGCAAATTAAGCTCTATTGAACGGTGCTAAAAGTCGCTACTTTGTCCAAACCTTATTCTGAGGAACACTTAAAACATTAACATGCAAGGCCTTTCATATGTTATGTACATTTTTCCAAATTTGTCATGTTACTCGCTCTAAGTAAAGCCAGAGAGCATTTTAATGTTAGCTTAATCTGTCTCAGTCTCTCTCAAAGTACTCACTTCTCCAACATCATAGATGAGAATCTGTCCATCAGAGTCTCCCACTGCAATCTCCCGGCCTGACTGTGCCCACCTCAGCCTGTTCAGAGCAGGGGTCCCTTCCACTGTAATACTTGCAGTGGGGACCTACACAAACAAATGAAAACACTTAAATTAAGCATTTTGGTTCCTATTTAAAAGTTCCTATTTAAATCTGTGTGTGTGTTTGAGATCTGCACAAGCATGAAATTAAAAAAGTCCAAACCTGACCTGTACCCATGAATTCGAGCACAACAGCCCAAGTGGTACTGCTAAACTTGATATCTGAACCTGATCGCGCTTGCACACACTAACGAAAGGAATTTTCTCAGACACAGTTTTACAGTGTTTCATTTTGTTACTAAGGGCTTGCACATTTATCTGAAAGCCAAGCTTTCGCTGTAGCCAACACTGATTAACTGGTGTGAGGAAGTACTCTGACATTTGTTTCTGGCTTGTAGCTTCTGTGGAATGGCAGCATCCATGGTAAATGGGTCAATGAAAAGATGTGCCATTCCTCCTTCTATCATGGCTCAAAATACCATTGCAAGCCCTACACTGTATGTGACTACTGTGCTACAATGATAAGACAACATGAGATGTTGTATAAGAGAGGACCATTTTACAGCATGTGCTGTCTCCACCACAAATTCATTAATTTGGAACAACTGAAAGAGCAGAATAATTTACTTTTGGATACTGAGATTAAGGTTAGGCTTAGGTGTAGTACTACTTGAAACCTAGAAACCTGTGTGTGTGTGTGTGTGTGTGTGTGTGTTTTATACACCTCTGTGTCATTGTTGAGGTTCCACAGGTCCAGATGTCCGACTCCATCCACACAGGCAAACAGAGCAGGGTGAACAGGAGACCACATCACATCGTACACGTAGTCAGAGTTATCCTCAAACGAGTACAGAGGCTTATTATTCTGCAGGACAGAGGTAAAACACAGACAGAATTGGTAGAGAAAGGGAAAGAGAGTCACTGCCTTGCTCAAAGAAGTGTTCAAGCAGCCCTATTACTCTTTAGATTCCCATTTTATCATGGGGAATTAAGAAAAACTGAAGATTACTCCATGATTTGAAATCAAGCACCTTTATATGGAATTCTTATATAGAATAAAGTGTTTACTTCTCTTAAATTCTTTTTTGCCTGTGTGCATTGATAAGAGACTATCTTTTTCTTCAGGCTGTTGTAACTGGTACGGTACCTTGGTGCTCCAGAGTTTGACAGTCCAGTCAAAGGAAGACGTGAGGAACAGATGGGAGAAGTCTACAGGGCCAGCTGCTGTGTGGCAGTGGATACCAGTGATTGGTCCATGGTGACCCTCAAACATCTCACTGATACCTGCTTTACTGCTCGCACACAAACAACACAACAGTCAAGGACTAAGTCAGGAGAAAAATTATGGTCATGTTTGCTAAGGTATCAGTACCACAGCACCACACCATCTTTAGATTACATATACTATATTATTGCTATTGAAACAAACCTTGTACCTTCTTTTTATTTTATTTTTACAGAATTTGAAAATGACAGCTGGCTTTTACAATGTTCTAACATTTCACAATGAAGGGTGCAAAAAAAAATGATCTAACATTATGTGAAATAATATATTGCTCTACTGATTTCCATTCAGTGTTAAGAATGTTTTTTCCTCTCCTGTTACCATTTTGGAGATTTTTAAAAAAATTCGCAACAGGGACAATATACAGTCCATAAATAATGCATACAAGCTAATTCTGCACCAAGATACAGCAGACAGCAATAAATAAGTGACAAAGACAAACCACTCTGATAAGTGTGTGTTTGTGTATGTGAGCCTATGTGTGTCCCGCACCACCCTGCTGCTCATTACTCTGAGAGGTAAATAGCCAGTGTGAGAGCTGCTTCTGCCTTATTAGCTGAGTTGAGATGAGAATATCATAATCATAGCATCATAAATGAAGTGGAAACACTGCAGCTCTCTCAATCACTGCTGAGGACAAGCACACAGCTTAACAGCTCACTGACTAACTGCACAGCTCTGACTGGCTTTGAATATGACACCATCTACATGCAACAGAAATATTACCCACTCACCATTCAAGTAAATTCTACAAATGCTTTTGTCAGCAGACATGCTGCTGTTTTACCTGCAATGCTCAAATGACTTCTGCATCCTTTTTATGAATAATAATGGCATGTTTTATGCATGATGTGAGCAATATGAGGGAATGCTACTGTGACGCACAGTGTTACAGTATGCTTTTCTACGTGTTTCATGCATATTGGCAGTGCTTGTAGAACCCTAAACACTGCATTTTAGAAAAGGCAGATTTTAAGCAATTACAGAGAGCCTACACAACAACCAGGATACAGTGACTGCACAATAAAAAGCTGGATCTGGGCTCGGGATGTAACAATACAACATATGTTACTGTATCGCAGCATATCACATTACACTGTATTGTTTGTAATGTTACTAGCACATCAGCTTGTAGCCAGTGTGTTACCTTTGTGAATCGTTAAAGCCCTACAGCACAGTTTAATTTATTTTTACAAATTTTCTGATCTCTCCTCACGTTTTTTATACCCCCCGCAATGTGGCACTACTGTTTTGATTGTGCATTTTGCTTATTCCAACTCTACATTCAAACCTTAGAAAAATGAACCATAATACACACTGTGCTGTATTGTGGTATTTGTGCCGTATCGCCCACGTTAATTTAAACAATTATTTACGCTTAAAATGGAGGCGCCAAGGAAACATGCCAAAAATATAAAACTGGGTTGTTTCCATTAGCTAACCGTGTGTGTGTGCTTTACCTGCCATGCCGACAGGCTGTGTAGACTGATCCGTCTTCACTGCCTACCACAAAGTTATTGACGTCACCCAGGGGGAAGGACATGGAGGTGACTGCCACTGCCTTAGACTGCTTAAACACCAACTCCATACTGTCCTGGAGAGAGAGAAAGAGAGGGGGGTGACATCAGCACACAAAATACACACAGCACCTCTCCTGACAGTTTCTTAAATGGATGATGTAAATTCAGCTAACACTTCATAAATGCTTAACATCTGACATTGTGGTTTGGCAAAACGTTTGGAATTACATAAAGTAAAGGTAATGTTATTCGCACTAAAAATATATTACGGCATGCAAGCGGCCATTTAGCTCAAAAATGTGCTGGGACTGGACGTGATAAGTGAATTGCTTTCCAAGTGCAGAAGCACTTCCAAACCACTTCCTCTCGCCCTTTCCCCTTGACTGTATCCCTTAGTCACTCATTGCACAATAAGGCCCTTTCCTTAGCTGTTTCCCCCCTAACACTTTTCTGACCTAAAGCTAAAAGAATGATTTATATTGCCACATTTATACATAGGGGATAGTGTGTGGCTACTGGGAGAAATGTATGCTGTCCAATTCATTTTATGTATGAGTGATATGGTGAAAGAGGAGATTATTTTGGGTACCTGAGGCTGGGACAACATGTCCAGACTCCATGAGCACATTTTACCATCAGTGGAGATGCTGATCAGGTTGTGAGCATTTTGAGTGCCGACAACATTCACACAATAAACAGGATGCTAGAGAAAAAGAGTGAGCGTACAAAAACGACAAAAATAATTAAGAACAACATAAAAATAATAACTAGAGGATGCATCTGAAAATCAACCAAATGATTACAATCATCAACAAATCACAATGGCCTCTGAGTTTACCTGCATTCCCCATGTAAGATATAACCGAACTGGTGTACACTCCATAGATTTCTAGTGGTCTTATGGTATATGAAGAAAATTCATACAAAAGCATAATTCCCTAAGGGCTATATATATGCTGAATAAACTGCACATACTGTGCATATGCAATTTATTCTATGCTTCACAAACTCAAAGCAATTCTTTGTGATCTGTTTCTTCTCCCAAAATACACCAGATAACTCACAGATAAAGAAATAAGCATTACTTTTTATGGTCTATTGATTTGGATGCATCAGTGATTATAAGCAATCAAATGGAACATATGGCTCAGAACGCGCTCAGCCTGATATATGAATAAGGCTTTTTTTATTATTCATGCGCTGTGTGGCAGCTACTGTTGTAATCAACAGGAATTCCTAATGCATAGCAGTCTCCTGGCATATGGTTCTCTTGATGACATACATAACCGTACCGTGTGAGCAGAGGCTGAGAGTGGGGTCCTCTGGACAGGGGTCCGTTTGTTACTCCTATTGTCCCACAGCACAATCTGTCCTGAGTATGTACCACCTACCACCAGGTTAGGATGGAATTTAACAAATGCTGCTGACATCACTGCAGACTAGAGCGAGAGAGAGAGGGAAAGGGTGGAAGTGAAAGTATGACAGAGAGAGAGACAGAGAGGCACAAAGGAGAGTCTTACTTTTGAACAGCAGAATGAAATAAAATGAATAGTTAAAAAGCCAGTGCTTTACCATCAATACCAATATAACGCTGTACTCCACTTCAGACCTGCTACTACTCAGACCTTCATGGAAAGCAGCATTTTAGTAAGCATTCTTTTTCTTTTACCCATGAACGATTACTTGATCACAAGCATGCACATCATAGATTAATACTGGACACCCTTCTATTCTATTATACACACACCAAACTGAAAGCATTATTCCATTTGATGCACACATATTCATAAGTGAATGACAGAAAGGGTGGCTGAATAAGTGCATGCACGCATGAATGAATATCTGCCATCCCAAAAAAAATGGACTTGCTATCCAAAGCCACCACTGTGATTTTTCATTGGCTGACTGTCTCAGACAAATATAAACCCCCCACTGCATCCAGCATAATCATTCACCATCTAACCAAATGCTGCCTTTATATACTTATATTTTTATGTACTTCATATCCTTTAGATACAGACACACTGGAAGAAGAAAGGTTCTTTTCCAGCTTTTTCAGGATGGAGAAAAAAAATACTTTTTTACTCCCTCAGTCACACACAATGGAGGAAAAACTTCACACTTATGTACGTATGGAGTTTTTCCTAGGTCTGTATAGAGTGTGTGAGCCGTGTATCCGCCCTGGAAGCCAGCACATGTGGTTCTACTCAGCCTGTCCACAGCAGACCACCTCAGGGCACACACATACACAGAACTAGAACTAAAACTCGTACAGCCAGTGGAAATTTCAGCTCAACTACATGTTCACAATTTTTAGATATACTTCTGTAGTTCTCAAATAGTTTGCAACAGTTTCAGCACTTCAGCAGATTCAGTGAAAACAATTTTAGTCAAAAAAGTATATTCACATATATTCTACTCCTTATACAGGGATGCTCAGTTTCTCAAAAGAAGTTTTTTATCCAGTTGTCTGCAGAGTGACTTTTAATTAAAGGGAAAATCCACCAATTTTTTAAAATGTCATGCATGGTTCAGATGTAAACTAAGTCCTTTGGAGTGATTTGATGCGAGATGCTCTATTCTAGAAAAACTAACCAACTTGGCTTTCTTTACAGTGGTAGTGATAGGAACCAAAGGTCAAAATGTCTACAAAGCCAATACAGCCATTTAATTTAGTGGACCAGTGGACCTACAAGTGTCTTCTGAGCTTTTAATTGTTGATAATGGCAAAATAGTGGTAAATCTGAAAGAAACAGGGGGAGCTTTTTTGCCTTGCAGCACTCTGCAGGTACCTCTCCACCAAGAATGCATTTTAAAAAATATGTTTAAGGTCAAAGACTCATCTCATAACTATTGTAATGCGTAGGAACCAGACAGCGTATTTATAGCCATTTCATGTAATAACTTTCTGTGAGGGAGCTTTTAGAGGTGTTAAACTCTTCATATGCCTGGTTCCTATCACCACCACTGTGAAAAATTATGACTCAAAATACGTCTCTAGAACACAGCATTTCATAGAAAAGCACTCTGAATGACTTCAGAAAGACTGTTTACATTGTAAAGGTTTAATTAAGGATAAATTTTGAAAAATCTTTGAAATTACCCTTAAAGCAAGAGGAGGGAAGCACAATTCAATCCAATCTAGGGGTGGGCAGTATGACAATATTTATCATTGTCATGATAAATTATGTCACATTATGTCACAGTAAGCTTTCCTGCCATCATTTGTACACTGAACAACTGCATGTTTCTGTTACAAGTTGCATGTTTAATTGGATTTTCTAATTATATATATATATATATATATATATATATATATATATATATATATATATATATATATATATATATATATAGATAGATAGATAGATAGAAAGATAGATAGATATTTCAGTGAGGATTGATATATGGCAGTGTTTGTGAGGTGCTGATTTTTGAGGGCGCATGCTTCTTCCTGTACCTGGCAGTGGAAGACATACTCTGGCGTAGTTTTCTTGTACTTCATGTTCCAGACCAAAGCCACTCCATCAGGCTCATGAGGAGCCTCCTCGTTGTTGTTGTAGGAGGCGACCAGTAGCTCAGGATACTGAAGACACAGAAAAACATTAAATCGCACATACACACACACACAATCCCTCGGGCACTTCTCTCCTTCCCTCCTACTGCGGTCTGTGTGAGCGTGCGTGTGGATGCCAGGCAGAACACGTCACCGCCCTGCTTCAGTAAGATTTATTACAGGGAAACTTTTTCTCAGCAGCAGTGATGGTGAATAGAGGCTAGCGTGCGGCACTGTAATACTCAGACAGCAGACTACTAAATGAGCTGAGAGAGGAAAGCATGGCAGAGCCGCAGAGTTGCTGGGAAGCACTGCCCCTGGCTACTGCTCAGACATGTTTCACTTTTTTTCCCTACACGCTGAAGGATTCTTAAATGCAAAGCTGTACTTTGCGTAATACTTGGTTCTGTTCACTAATACTATGCAGGGTGTCTGTAGGCATTCTCAAGTTAGTTGTTTTTCATAGTGATGCATGATCATGAATTTTTATGGGTAATTCAGATTCAGATTTCTTTACAGTCAAACTGGCCAATGGCTGAATTTCATTAGCCTTATTTATTTTCACTTAAAACTGTACGGGCTACGTTAACACACTAAACACACTAACACATTTCTAGTATTTACTTAGCCAAGTCACAATATAAATTACATCAGTTGTCTTTTAATAGGCCACACTGGCATTTTGCATTCATAAATAAATTTACTTAATGAGTTGCCTATTTAAATAACATGTATCAAATTGTATTAAGTGGTATACTGAAAGTAAGAGGCGACTGGCTATTTAGCAAATTGAGTCATGCATAATTTACACTGCAACATTATGGTATAGGTACAGCAGAAGCATTCTAATCCAGTGCATTCAAATGCAGCTTTGCCCCAGGGCTAGAGTATTACTTAACATAGTCCAAAATACATATGCAGTGATATATATATATATATGTATAGACCTGCAGACACCCTGTATCTAAGATATTCCTAAAACCAAGCAAGAACATTCCATTTTACAAAGAAAACTGTAGAACTAGAACTAAAACTTTACCCAAAAAGGCTGCTCACCTCTGCCTCTCCTAGTGCAAAAGAAATGTTGACAGTTTGTCAGGAAAACACAAGGACAGAGAAACACAGACACAAATCTCTGAGCAATCTGCGGGGTGACAAATGGCTTTTGGTGCACAACCAGTGCCAGAAATCATTTAGGCTTTACATATCACAATGCAGAGCAGCACATGGAGAAATTTAATCATTCCACCTCAGCCATGATTTGCCAAAGCATAGATTTCAGCCTCTGGAGAAACCACGGCAGCTAAAACAATAATACATGTCTGTTTAGATTGTGTACATCTGCTAGGGGGAGTGAAATTGAGAAAGCAGCAGAACACATTGAGCCGATTACACATAACTAGATGCAATGCCTCCGAGCTTCAGAGCAGGCTTCTGTTTTGACAGCATAAGAAGTAATTTTCATTACATAATCAGCGAATAAATGTGACATTCATCTTTAAGTTCAAATCTGTGGGTTGGAAAGCAATAAAGCAAACTTTAAATGTGGTATGAGGCACTGTTACACCCTAAAACTTTAGAGTAAAGGAGTTATGACTGGACCTAGGAGCAGATATGTTTTTTTTTTCTTCTTTTTTTCTTTGCGAGGTGAAATTGTATTGAAGTAACAACAACTTACATTTATGCTCAATGCAATGTATTTCATAAATCTAAGGCTATTTTACTGTTGCTGTAGACATTTCAGATATGCACAGAAATTATACTGAACATTTAAAAGGTCATCTGTCACAGTTTTGCCAAAGTCTCTAATTTAATTACACGCTGTGATGTAATTGGTGATGACTGTTTAAGCAGGGACACGTTTATTGTGACTGCTATTTCCTCCAGTGCTCACGTCTTTATATCAAAGGTGCAGAAACAGAATGGGATACAGATGTGGTTAAGTGTTGATAGTGAAAAATGCCGAATGGCTCAAATCAACAAACATGCACACCCTGTACCCCATTTTTCTTTGAGACTACGAATAATTAAAAAAGGCATCACAGGACCCATGTGACCCTTCTCATAAACCGAGACACACAAAAAATAACACTTTGTGCAGGGGTTCTTTACCCAAACACAATTTTCCAGTCAGGGGCTGGGAAATATATACAAAAGCCGGCAAAGCTCTGTCTGTAAAAAGAATGTGTTTCTCTGGTGGTCAGTTACCTGTGGAGACCAGTCCAGGCAGGTGACCACCCTGTGCTTGGACCAGCGCTCATCCATAAACTGTCTGTTCAGAGACAGCTTCGCTCCAGCCTGCATCTCACTGCATGAAAAATAACAAGTATGTACACCTGTGTTAGTTGCTTTTCAGTCACAGAAAATACTTGTAAAAAATAAGGGACAGTCGCAACTCATCCTTCAGAGCTGGATTTTACATGAGACTTTAAAATAAACTGATTAATTTTAGTGAAAGACACTATTATATGAATAATAGCAGTTTTTGGTGACCTTGTGCCCAGTGAAGAATATCAGGAAATCTATGAAAAGGGATCATTTTATTAATAAATGCGAGTGATATAAATTTCTTACCCCTCCTTCTCCTCTAGGTCACGGCCGCTGTAGTCAAAGAAAACGTCCACATGTTCAGACAGAGCTCTCTCAATGATGCGCGTACTGTGGTCAAAGAAATCCATGAACTCCTCAGAGTGTAGGATCTGCAGCTTCTCTTCCTCAGTCAGCTCATGAGGGGGTGCTAGACAAAGGGAGGATTAATGCAAAAAAAAAATTAAAACAAGAACATGTAAACAAAAACAAACGATGGTAAATGTCCATCAAGGCCTACCTTCTTCCTCTTGCTTCTGCACTGGAGTCTCCTTCTCCACCTCCGATGCAGGCTCTGCAGGAGCTAGCTCTTCTTCTTCCTCCTCTTCCTCTGTAGATCACAGCATGGCATCAAGAGACATCAGGCCAATCAAAGAGTTAATCTTCCAATGAATACATAATACTTACAAAAAGAATCATTAAACATTAGACATAATCCAGAAGCCTGAAGAGAACTGTACTTTTTATTTGGTTAAAGTCTTGTTGTGTCAAAAAGGTTTCAGATAAATTGCTTTTGCTGAAGTAAATCACTGAGCACACATGAAGAGGATCCCACCACAGAATATCACTAATCAAAGTTTTAGAGAAAAGCTGTTGTGGTCAGGACTGAGATGGTTACCCATTTTAAAGACACAGTGCAGGTATAAAATGATAATCACATTGTTTTGAATCTTAACAATTCTGTTAACCATGTATAATTATCTTCTTTAAAGAAAGACACAGCAAAAGTAAAACAACATACAGCTGTAGGCATAGGACAACACATTAGGGATGTATGATGATACTGGAATCATATCCGTATCAGAAGATAATTGCTTTAAAAAAATGATTACCATCACACATGTTTAGATTTAACCAATATTCCAAAACACTATGTAATGACGTATTTGTTGTACTCCAAAAGAGGAGAATGTTTAGGCAACACTGGGTTACTGTGCTAAAATGTTTGTTTTGGTCATTTGTCAGCATTTGTAACCCTCTACAAATAAACGTAATATTTCTCCATAATGCTAGGTATAATATTTCTCCATAATCCTCCAGGTAGACAGAGTCCCAACTTGTTTACTTTAGAAATGTTTATGGAGTGGCATCAGTATCTGCAGATGTATGCATGAAATATATCAGACATAGGGATCATCCCAAAATTCCCATATTTGTGCATCCCTACAACACGTTTACATGCTTATAATTTGACGAGTGAGTGAACTGTATAGGCTCTAGTGATGATTTCATATTTACTTAAACTGTAGCTGATTGTTTTTGGTATCATTAAGAAATTGAGATTACAAGTATATCAACACAAACAATTTTAATGTGCACTGGTGGGTTTTAACATTTTTAGTATACTTAATACTGTGATAATATTGATACTCATTATCATTTTAGTTACTGATGTCAAGACTTTTTTTGATCTCTAGGTGTAATAGCGTGTAACAAGTATGTTAAAACTGACTGCACCAAAACACAACACTCATTGAAGGTATTAATCCAGTGTAGAAATTGTGGCATAAAGAAGTAATATTTCTATTAGCTAGAGAAGAAATGGCTGTAACTCCTTTTAAAGAGTGATGCTATGTTTGAGTTTGTCACCATGACACTAGTTCAGCAATGAAAGACCAAAGCTTTTCAAATGAAAATGTTTACTTCACAAATTGTCACCCTGCTACCACGGCGTCACCTCTCCAAATGCTGCTCCTCTTCGCATCAGAAACTAAGACACGTTAGGACACAGCCGGGGTCCTCGCCCCCCATGGCCCACCAGTTAATGAGACACACTATTCAACAGGGAGTACACTTGTTAGCACTGCTATATCCCCTCTCCCTTTATAAGACATCTACATACGCACTGACATGGCGTACGCGCACACACAGACAGGGCAGGAGGGCGGGCGGCAGGTGCCCTAAACCTCTCCCATTGGCCGGGCCAGCTGACGGGTGGGGTGCGTGAGGCAGATGGCTCTGTTGGGATTGTGTGTGAGAGAGAGGTGGCATAGAGATGGCACTGAGGTTTTCTGCCTGACTGCTTCTTCTCAACACACTCGCCGGAACCACAAGCCTGTGCAATTACCCACACACCAGGGGGTCCGACGACTGCTATTCAAACCGCGAGGATGTACAACAAAATACAGCTTGTGGCCCTGACCAGCTGGCAAGCCACACACTGCTCAAACAAAACGACAAGCTTTTCTCCAACGTGCACACACACGGATACATCCTAATCATCTGAAACAAATCCACTGCTTATTGTGAGCTCAAGAAAATTTTTTTAACATACCTAGTATACACAGAAGCACAAAATGAAGGTAAATTGTACATAGAGAAATTAGCCACATTTTACAGGTGATTATAAAGACTCGACTGTAGAGGATAAAACTGTCCTTCCCGGAGAAAATCAAAATGATAATGTCATCTGTCAAATCTTCCATTACAAATGTCTTCATCGCACTCTCTGAGACAGGGCTGGGGTGAGAAGGAAAGAGGAAAAGAGGAGGGGAGGAAGACGAGGGATTGTTCTGATGAGTTTACAGAGTTGCGCTGATGACACAGGCCATCTCAGTGCGTTGGGCCCTTAGTCAGGGAAGGATAGAGGAGAGAAGGTTAAAATCTTTCTTTTCAAGGGCCTCAATCAGGCTCAGAGGAAAACAGTAATCAGTGTCTTTCAGTCCGGGGCCCGAGCGCATGCCGCAGCCCTTTCTCTGCCAGCCAGGCCCGAGCAATCAACCTGCCAGGCATTAGCAGCGGAAAGACAATCTGAAAATAAAGGGTATAATGCACCTGCCAGCCAAAATGGCCATTTGGAGAAAAGCTAGTGATCCTGGTGACCCCACAGGGGTAAGAGGGGGAGCGGTGGTACATAGAAAGAGGGAGAGAGAGAGACTGAGCGAGATTTGGGAGGAAGGAAGGGAGGGGGGAAAAAAGAGAAACATTTAACAGAATTCACCCTGATGGCAGATCCCCTTCCCCATCGACACCTCATCTCAAAGCAGCCCAATTATCGCTTTTGTATCATTTAAGGAATAAAAGCTTTTGGGGGAGTGGAGGGGGGAGCAGGGGGACACAGGGAGTAATCACCAGCTTTTGTGGAAGGACAATATATTAATGCAAACGCGCCATGGGTCCAGAGGTTGTTCGAGTACAAGACTAATGCCCTTTGATCTCCAGTGCAGGTGCATGGGGTCCATGTGCAACAGACAGAGAGAGGACCCTAAAAAACCTGACTTCCACGTTAGGACTTATCAAAGGGGACTAAGCAAACAAACCTCAGCTCTCAGCACTGGGCTTTCTGAATTTGATTTTCAGCATTCCGATTATAGTGGGACGCTTAATTGCGCAGGGCTCGTGTGGATGGGTTTTACTATTGAAACAGGGCACAAAGAAGTGGGCCGAGAGCACTTCTAGACCACTTTGAGCAGGGAAAAACAGAGGGTTCGAACAAATAGATGCCACTAAAAATATTCTCAAATAAATGTATTTACCCTTATTAATTCAGTGAAACAAGAATACGTTTTGTAACATTTCTATGATAATGTCCAGACTAAAACACAAAAACAAAACAAAATCCTCGTCCATTTGTTTCAAAGAAACCATAACGCACAAAACACGTAAGTACAAAGTTTTCCGTTTCTAATTTTACTAACCAAATGTTTGAACTCAAAGAAAATGATACATCTGATACCTATCAAGTAAAGCAAGATCAGAGAAGACAGCCCTCACCTTTCCTACAATCAAAAGCAAAAGCACAAACAAAACAGCAAAAATACAAACAAAAATAGTAAAATCACACTTCACTCTTTCATGTCTCTTGTCACGTCCTGAATAGTTTAATGTGGGTTGTGTTCTGGAATACTTTGAGGGTGAACTCATAAAATCTTTGTGTCCGTTTTACATGGTGACAAAATGATTGGCACTTTTTAGTCACGATTCCTTATATACTTAGATATTATTCGCTGTGGGGTGCATCCAACACATTATTAATTTTTCATGATTGATTAAACACATGTCTTTAAGGAGGATAATGCTCATGTAAATGACAAATTCAAGCTCAGACAATAGGTTTAATTTCGAAAGGCAGGCAGTTTTGTGGCTGTGGCAGTTGAGTGCTGGGTTAAGGGTGCCTGAGTTTAGAGAGAGGCTCTCCATACGAGAGGCCTCTCACATGCCCCAGTGATTAAAATAGAGTAGTACTCCTCCTCTCCAGAGAGGATGATTAAAACAATCACCTTTAATTAAAGTTCATATTCACGGAGAAACCGTTCACAATCTCAGACGGTTCTGAAGGCCTTGTAAAGCAGACACGTCTCTCGGCCTGTCTCAGAGACTGGGGCTCAGTTCAGCAATTGGTCACATGATGCCCTGCACCCACTACCATGCCAATTTGGAACTGCATTCACTGGAAGATTGGTTGCTTTATAGCTCCTGTGCATTTGAATGTGTCAGAGATGAGCATGAAAAATGTATGTTTCCTAAATGATCAGTTAGATTTTCCATTATTTTCTTTACGAAAAATGTATTCCATACAAAGTGACAGAGAGGCCTCAGAAATTCTGATTCAGTATTCGGGCCCTCGCAAGATGCTTGGCATCCCTTAAATCTCATTAGACCGTTCGGCCTTTAAGATTCTCTCAAGATAGCAAGTACAGAGCAGACAAAAGATTGAAGAAAGGACACTGAATCTGAATGGTACAAATCAAGGACTCTAATCAGCATGTGTGTCAACCCAAGCCGCAAGCAGCCGTGTCTGTGTGTGCAGCATAGCCGCGCTCAGTGCCCTCTCCTTCTGTACTGTACCACCCGCTGACCTTCAGAGAGCGGACCCCTCACTGCCTCCACAGCCCACGACAAATCACTCAATCAGAGAGAGAGAGGGAAAGAGAGAGGGAGGGAGAGAGAAAGAGAGAGAGAGAGAGAGAGAGAGAGAGAGAGAGAGAGAGAGAGAGAGAGAGAGAGAAAGAAATGTCTCTGAGTGGCAGGGACGAGAGGCGTGAAAGCCTCCCAATGTCACCCAATGCGTTTTGTTACATGCCTGCATGGTGAAGGAGAGAAGACAGGGGAAAGCGAAAGAGTTGATGAAATGATTACATAGTGGTGGCGGGCCGGTGGAAGGAGAGGTGGAGGGGGATGTCAGTGTGGTGTTGTCTGTAGATATCAGCCCTGTTAAACACACTTTTATGATGCCATGGAAAGAGTCCTTACACTTTAACAAGAGAGAGGATGAAAGAGAGAAAAGGGGGAAAACAAGAGAGAGGGCAGGAGACTATGACACATACACAGAGAGGGGTGGGGGGTAAAGAGAGTGCACAGCTATAATACAAATAGAAATAAAGTTATGAACGTAACTTTCAGAATTGCAGCAAGACTCACAATTTCATTCTTTTGACTCTAAAATGCTGGTTCTTTTCATTTTCTCTATCCACAGTTTCAGAGGAAACCAATCACTACGTACTTACTTATGTAAATTCAAAACTCCTCTCTGCTTGTTCCACATTTTGAATCTTAGTAATTTCTGGGAGTTATTTTCATCTAGAAAATCAAATACACATAGAAACATAACAAAAGAACAGGTCGGGCTTAACTACTGTTAGTACAGCATTCTTTTTTTGGTGTAGCCACCAATGAGATTAACTCCACTACATTCTATTAAATTACTGCAACAGACCCATACAACCTTGCAGAACTCAAAATGGCTGGAATAGAGACTAGCTTCACCATGACAAAAGCCTGGTAATGCATGCAAAGCTACTCAGAGAGCTATCTGAGGAACTTTGAACGCGCACACCCCCCAGAGCAATTACTGCCCCCACACCCCATGTTCCGACATGTGCTTGACATGAGGACCTGGAGATCACCGCAAGCCAAACAGTGAATGGAGCTTTTTGAAGACACGCACAGAATGCCACATAAAAGCTACGAGCTGCAATTACATACATGTTGACATGCTTCGCATGCATTAGCAAGGCATGGCACACTTCTTAATATCATCCTTCAATCTTCTTACAATTTCCTGTTCCCCTGGCTCTCACTCCCTCACTCTTTCTATATTGCTCTCTTTCACATTGCAGATTTTTGTCCCCCCTTCATCCTAAATGCTAATTGGTCATAGGGACTCTACCGTTCAGTAGGACGGGGTAGGGCAGGGGTAAGAAGACTGTGTGTATGTGAACGAGGGAGTTTAATCTTTCCTTGGCTTCTTATGTTTCCCGAGGCTCCGCAATTTTCCCCTAGCTTTCATCTCCATACTTGCTTAAGTCAGACCAGTTCTGAAGCAACATCACACACTCACAAATCCTAGTTCATCTGATCAGGGAGGTTTATGACCCTGCAGTCTGACCAGACACAGTAGCCACCCCCCTCCCAAACCTACACATACACATACTCCACTGACATATTTCAGCATGTGCTAAAAAGCTACCAATAAAAGCTGCTAGTATGAACTTTGAAAGACATAAAAAGTATATACATGTATACATAATCATATCATTAAGGGTTTACATAATTTCAAAGCATTAGCTTTTTTAGTTATAATTTTTAATTCTGTTTTCACATTCAAATATAAAACATGGAATACTGTTTGGAAAAGCACTGTGGAAATTTATAGGAGATATAATTAGCTGGACAAAGTAACAACACCGAAGCACACAAGGTAGGGGTGGGCAATTTGACAATATTTATCTTTATAGTGATAAATTACATCACGTTACATCACAATATGTTTTTCTGAGTACATCGTGGATATTGTACTACTTAAAGGGCCCATGTCACGGAAAAATACATTTTTCCTCATTTTTTTTCTTCTTAAATAAACCAGTTTGATGCAGTGTGTAAACAATGTTAGTTTCAAAATGTATCATTTATTCCCCAGGTCACATATGGAAAGAAGTCAAAATTCACTGTTTTTGTATCGTTGTGATAAAAATGAAAATTTACATATTTTAGCTTATTGAGCTTACAGGAGTTTAGCCTTACCCTTTCATGTTGAAGTTGTAAAGAGTGTTTCACCTGGAACTGCTTTGCACAATACAAGGCGGCCAATCAGAACATATATAAACGCACAGTTACGAAAACAATGATATGACTGGTTCTTGGTATATAAATTCAAAAGTGAACCCCAGGGAAAAATACAACTAAAAGTAGACCATTAAAATAACACTTGTTAGAAAGAGAGCATGATTAGGACTGTTTTATTGGATTTAGTGCACTGCAGTATGTGAAATGTAAAAATCAGAATAATCAGTTTTTTGTTAGTTCTTCATTGTTTGTCTTATCTCAGAAAAACTAAAAATCTTGATGCATATTGTTTAGTGTGATGCTCTATTTTTGCTGTATCGCCCAGCCCTAGCACAAGGTTAAAAACACAGAAAGAAGCAGTTTACAAATTATGTCTGATGGGGCATGATGGACCAGGGCAGAAAGTCAATCATCCACAACTATGAGGTCATCTATAAAAAGAACTAAATATGGTGAACGAAAAATCAAAGTACAACAACAGCAAGGGCAGATGTGCTGAAAGCATTTGCATGGCCTGCACTCACCCTCTTTCTGCTCGCTCATGGTGGGTGTTTGAGTCTCCTTGGTGTAGGACACCACCTCTTTGGGAGGGAAGTCCACATGGGTCACCTTTGCCATGCCCAGTTTCACCGGGCCTCGCCTGGCAGGGAGGAAACAAGCACACACACACAGACAGAAAGAAACACACACATATAAATCTCAGAAAATAGCCAGGGCTGTAAAAGTGTGAAGGAACTACGAGCCAAAGTCCAAGACCACAAAAATTTCTGCCTGACTTGTTCAACCATCCCTTGTGTTTTATCAGCAAGAAGATTGAAAAGCACAAAGACCGAAGTGTTTTAACCATTTGATTAAATCACGAGAGCAAAAATATAGCCTAGCATTCAATTTAGTAAAGCAAGGTATTAAGATTATCAGCAATTACAGGATGGAGAGCTTTCTTTTAATAGCACTGTATATTTTTTTCAGACACCATACAGATCCTGAATGTCTGATACGGATCCAATATTTTTTTTCTTCCAAAACTACTAGGCTTCAAAATAAGCGATTTTTAACTGAAGCACTTCACTTAAGATGAGTACAATCCCCAAACTGTGCAAACACTCTACTACTCTACAGAAAGAAATACATAGCCAACAACATGACCTGTACGAAATCATAGCTTTTCCCAGTAAACAAACAGAAATATCACTGTGTGTAAAATTACTTGAAACAAACTGAAATTCTGGTATAATACTTTTTAAGCCACTCAGAGATTTTATATTAATGTTGGGTTACGTGTAGTTACTATTATCACCTTTTCAATTTTGCTTTACCTTATGTTAAGCTGTGTATTATTATGTCATCTGTTATAGAATCAGTTTAGATTTATTCTTTTTCCCCTCTGGTATCCAATCCAGTATCTTCTGCGGGTATAGATCCGATATCATTACTGAGTTGCGGATGGGTCCTACTTCTAATTTTAACCACAGAATTCACTGAAATAATTGCTAATCTGGTTTACGAAAAAGGAAGGATGTAGAGAAATCAGAAGAGCCAGAGAATGCAGTACCCCAGCTCGGAGTGAAGCAGTAGTGTAGAAGGATCAGAGTCCCAGTGGAGAGTCCTGTTAGTGTCACAGCAACAAGCCAAGGTTAGATTGAAAGAAAGAGAGAATATGAAAAGAGGTTATTAGAGATCATCAGCTTGGTTAGAAGAACCTTTAGCAATGACCATTAACAAGCACCAACTACAGCAGTTAGAGGGCAGAAAACCAGTCTTTTCATCGATTTAACAGGAGATTACAACGTTGCATAAGATTAGCTACATAAAAACAAAAAAAAAAAAATCAGTGTCAAGGTATTAGTCAGTTGTAAGTACTAATAATTGAACACGCATTATAATGTGTGGTACCACTGAATGCATAACATGTTTCTCAGGTAGAACAGAGCTGTGTGTGAATCATGACTGACAGGAGAAAGCTCATTCTGCCTCTCCCCCCCAGAGCTGATGCCGGAGACGACGTGTCTACCGGTCAGCTGCGTCATTGGCCCCGCCATGACTAACGTGAGTGGGAGCTCTCTCTGAGTGTGTGTGTGGCACAGTGCACCCCAGGAGGGTGTACCTGAGCCCCTGTAGATGTGTGAGTGTGTATATGTGGTTTGAAAAATGACCTCCATGTGTGTAGGAAGCGGTGGTGCAGCAGAGGGAAATGAGTGGACACGAAGGGCCTCAGGCGGGAAACAGCCCCCCAAGGCTGCACTCCATATAGATGTGTGTGTGTGTGTGTGTGTGTGTGTGTGTGTGTGTGTGTGTGTGTATGTGTAAGGGGTTAGAGTTTCCACAGGAGTCCAAAACTCCAATCAAGGGTTAAACAGTCCCCCAGGCATCTCACAACCAATCAGATTTCGAGTTCAGCTATATCTACTTTAACTAAAAATGGCACTTACTTCTATTTCTAATCCTCTACAACAGATCATTACTGCTGTTACTCATTTCATTCAGACGAAATGTGTTAATTTAGTATAATTTTGCAAATTGACATTGACTTGACTGACATAATATACTATTTTGTTTAATCATTTGAGCAGAAATCATGAAATAAATCTGTGAACTCTGATTATGCCAATGTTAGGATCAAAACAGCAATATTTTAACTAGCGGTATAACAATGCATTGTGACACTGTGATGTCACAGCGTAAAAATGTGATAAGGCATTGTGGAGATTAGGTGTTCTGTTAGTTTAAAGCATCAAAATCCATAACTGCTTTGTGTGAGCACCAACGTTCACAAGCAACCAGCATCAATCAACAACCCAGACCAGCACGTTCATTAGCAAGCAGTATGACAACATGGATACAGTGAATAGTTTTTATTATTTTTTTTAAATTTGTTCAAAATGTCATGAGAATATCAAATTGTGAATCCAATATCGAGAGTCGAATCAAATCATGGGCAGGGTGTATTGACACACCTTTATTTTTAATCCAAATATAGCCTAACGCAGACTATGATAATAGATATCATAGCCAGATATGAACTAAAGCAGATTATGATGATTGATGTCATACTGTCTTACTCACAATGGGAAAAAGAGACAAAACAGATTTATCTGACGACAAGAAATATTTACTCTTCACACCAGGGGTTTTCCTACGTGGCATAAGTTATTTCTGAGGGTACAGGCAAAAAGCAGCTAATAGCATGGAACTGCAAGGAGAAACTTACTACCTGTTCAAACCTGTGCACAAAACCACACACACAAAGCCTTTAAACAACATAAACATTTCGCCTTTGGTGCACAGACAGACTGTCTGTCGCTCACGCAATCCCACAATCACGAACCTCTTCAACGCTAACAATTACAGATCAGAGTACAGAGAGAAAGAGAATGAAAGAAAGAGAGAGAGAGAGAGAGAGAGAGAGAGAGAGAGAGAGAGAGAGAGAGAGAGAGAGAAAGTGCGAGAGCGGGAGAGAGATATGATGTTGGTGGTACCTGGGTCCTGTGGCGCCATCGCCTGAGTCCTGGCTACCTGCCTCACTCGGAGTGCCCACAGATTTGGCAGTGGGAGACATTGGTGCAGGAACTGAGGGAGAATTCAGAAAACCACGTACACAATCATGTAACGTCTCTTATAGCAGTTCATAAAAGGCAATCCTTTTAATAATTAAAAAGAAAGATAAAACATATTTAATTCTGTTGTTCACCTAAGAGAAACACTTCACCATCCAAATATAATCTTTTCAGACTTTTCTTTTCAGTATTCCACTGCTTTTATTTAATTGTCACAAACTGTCCAAAATCCCACTTGACACAAACAAAAAATGTATTTTAAGATTGTTATAATCAAAATTCTATTGAAAGATTAATTCAACGTCACAATGTTACCTTCAGTGTTTATTTTGCTTTATTATATTTTTTAACCTTTAATTCAACCAGGCAAACCATTTAAAAAATACTATTTACAGTGCCGGCCTGTCAATTGCCTGAAGACATGTGCGCAGAAAGGAGAAACAGGCACTTAAAAATGTATACATGTTTGTTTATAAATATATATATCTTTTTTAAATGTGTGTCAGCTCTCTGTTTACACTATTTTTTTTTTTTGCTCAGCTCGCTGAAACATAAATTAAATTTAAATATTCAGCATCTGATATTCATGCCTGCTAAATGTCTAAATGTGTGTAAATGCATAAGGAACAGTGCAGCCATAAATAGGGTTATCAGTTTCAATGTTTGTGAGTTAATGCAATTACCTCTCTAGACAACAATTATTAGTGATTTGCATCACCCACTGCGTAAAACTGTAGAAATCTATCCACTGTAAGTCTTCCACTGAACTGGAACAAATGAATCCATTTTATTAAATGCTACTATAGTGACCATCAATACACCACCTGCTTTGAATGCTGATGTGCAGACAACATTTAAAAAACAACCTTTACCAAACAGAAAAGTCTAGCCTGGAGCACTTCTGCCCCCTTCTGTTTGCTCTGTGAACTGCATCAATCATTTATTACATGGCGTTATATCTTGCTCTCAGATTCTCTTGCTTTGCTTGCAAGAATGAACAGTCATGTTCTCACTACTATTTACTGATAAATGTATCTGAAGCTTTTGCTGTCTGCCCATATAAAATCTGTGAATAGCAATGAGAATGGTGCTTAAAGTTTTTTTATATGCCTAGTTATCTTGCAGTGGCAGCGAACATATGCAACAATATTGGGAGACCCTATCAGCCTAAATGCAAATATACTCATTTATCCACAGATCTCAAGAATAATTACAGATTATGCGGTGTAGAATCTAGTGTACAGGTGACTTACCCAAAAAGAGGGTCAGGAGAGTTTCGGCCATAAGTATCAAGGGCAGTGGGGTGCAGTGAAGTAGAGCAAGTGGTGTGAAGTGTAGTCTTACCCACAGGGACATCAGACGTGATTCCCATGCTCTGCAGCAGTGCTTCAGCCTCTCTCCTCTTCTTTTCCAGATCAGAGTCATCCTGCAGTGTTACGGGTTCTTTCAGCTGCTCTGCCTATCAGACAGATACACACAACTCCTTATAGTTTAGTCTTATTAATTATATAAAAAAAAATTTAAGTGTGTAAGAATGAATTGAAGTTTATCTAAAATGTACATAAATAATGCTGCTGCTCCTTTTCAACATATATTTGAGTTTTGCAAATCAGTTATGAATAAAAAAGAGGCTATTTAGACAAACCAGGGGTTTCTCATTAATGCATTAAATTGTGGTAGGCTACCACAGTTTCTATCACCAGTTTCACCCTGCTGAGGAAAAGAATACAGTCAATCCTGTGTGTCATATCAGCAACACATGGGAATACTGAAAGCACATTGGCTCAATAACTCACAAAATGTTAATCACTTGTCAAAATCATGAGAATACCTTTAAAGTAATCTGGGCAATATTAGAGCTATCAGTATTAACAAGATGAAAAGATTCTCTTCATTTTGAGTTTTTTAACAAGCTACTAAATGGGTTTCATGTTTCTGAGAAAGAAAAAAAACATCTGTAAGCAACATAGCACCAGTGGCTCCCCAAGGCACTCAGAGCTCCTCCTCCCTGATACACAGAAACCCTGTGTCAATGTGTGTGCAATGCACACTTACAAACACACACACACAAACTATAAACAACTCATAATTGCATGGAGAAGATTTTCAGTCTAGCAGTCTATCTTCTTACTACATTTTAGCACTGTGCCAGAGGAGATTTTGTATGTTTATGAAGCTCAATACACTGATTGTAATAATTGGTGTAATTTTTAGCTAGCCAAGCTGCTGACTGCATGACAGCATTACGCATATTATACACGCCCAGGCCTAGACCCCCACAGAGAGTTCAGAGCCAATCCAGATATTACGCAGAGATTTTAGATGTATTGCAGAAATGGGCAATAACATAAAAGAAATGTTGATGATGCATAATATGCCACAATATTTATTTTTTCTGACATCTGATGAGTTGGAACGGACAAAAAGAACCTGTATATATACCAAAATATACTATTGAAAACTATAAATAATGATTTGTCCTCAACATTTCACATACTACACTGCACTACATCCAATTAAACAAGATTATGCCCTTTTTATAACAAAACATGCAGTTGGTCAGCAACCTTTAAGTACTGACAGTTTCCACAATATGCTCAGAACATCACACTGTGACATATCGTAACATAATTTATCACAATAACGACCACTCATCATACATGTGTATTGTGTTTCCTTTACCTCTTTCTTCTTGCGTTCCTCTTCTTTTCTCTTCTTTTCTTCCCTGATTTGTGCAAGCCGCTGCTTCTTTCGCTCTAATTCGGCCTTCAGCTCACTCTTGTCCGACATGATGCTGCAGAATGGGACAAACTCATGAACTGACTGCACTGAATGCTCATCGATCATTTCTGAGAACTACGACAAAATGCTGTTTCCTGTACAAGTTCAGACATTTACAGTAAGTTAACACCATCCAATACCACATCATACAGAAATCTAATACAAAGATAGCATAAAACAGAGTTTTTGAGGATTTTCATATCTATCTGTATCTTTGCCTGTAATGCAAGTTGTAATTATCATTGTTGCAGCTTGCCAAATGGCTCACTGAACAACAAGAAACACCAAACAACATTCAAAGATCATGAATAAAGCAAAGTGTAGCACATGACCTTGCAGCACGCAGTCTACTTATTTCTCTATTCATCATCCAGATAAGGACGTGCTAAAGGGTCCAATCACATTCACAAAGACACACTGTACAGACAACAGGGAGACTGAAGACCAACACTCATCTAGTTTGGATACTTTTCTTCTGTCTCAAATACACAGACCACTCTTGTGTACACAAATGGAAAAAAAAAAATCAAGTGGATGATTTCAAGAGTTTCCTTTGTCTCTCTTCAAAGGGCTTTCATCTCCTTTCCTACAAACAGCACCTGACTTTAACAACAGGCTAAAGGAACCACTTAAAGTCTGCTCTTAATTACTGTAAGAGTTCTGTTTTATTTGCTTCATACAACAGGGACAAAAGGAATACTTTTACTATAATGGTCTGATTAAACTAAGATGCATGTCTGCATGGAAATATAAGGAAGAGGCAAAACTCTGTTTTTATTTCTGTGTTCCTGAATGTGATACAACAACAAGATTATTCATTTAGTCCAATCACACACTGCAACTCGTGATTTGATGAAAGATTCAGAATAAAATGCAAGCACTGTTCAGGCAGCTGACATCTGAGACATTAACAACACTACTACAATAACATTAAATAATAATATTATATTTTATTATTAATATTATATAAAAAATGTCTAAATAATAATTATATATATATATATATATATATATATATATATATACACACACACACACACTTTTATTTTTATTATTTGCTGATACGTGTTAAAACAATATTTATGACCACTAATAATAATAATAATAATAATAGTTGTTTTGTTGTTATTATTTTTCAGCTGTAGTATCTGTACACAGAGCTAGTTTGAGATCCCAATAACTGTTTTAAGTTTCCCAGATAAGTCAGATGGTCATCTGTCATTTCCTAAATTAATGACTAAACGACTCATCTGCGGTGCAGCATGCATGAGTGGAAGTTGGTTTGGAAACAACACATGAAAGAGAGACTAACAACTGACCCCTGAGGTAACATTACTTCTTTTTACTGAGAGAACGGGACAGGCTAGCCGCCTAGCTAACGTTAGCTGCTTAACTTACTGTTAGCTCCTCAGGCGGCAGAGGAAGCTGCTCTCGGCAGCAGCTCCGCCAGTTAGGAGTTCTAACAGCCGCTAGCACTTATACACCATTAAAAACAAACGATTACTTGTACTATTCGCATGTATAAACCATTTTACCAATTTATGGTTTGCAGAGTTTGCCACTCTGTTTAGTTACTCTCAAATTAGCTAGCGAGGGAGCTTCTGGGCGGCACCCAAGCCAAGTGTCCACTCAAACCGTACAGCAACAACACTGCGGTCAGCTTAGCACTGTGCTATTCCTTTATATACCTATGCGACTAAGATAACTAGCCAGATTAGGTATATGGATAAATAAGGCACTGTACACACAACAACAACGCGTAGCTAAATTACTTACATGACTAAGTGGTTAAGTAACATCACACCTATTAATAAACCTCGCTATCTTGCTGCATTGTTAGCCGTCAACTAACGCTAATGCAAGCTATTGTCATTCATCGAGGTTGGCAAACAAAAAACTAACTTTAAAAGTTTCATTATCCGAAGAGAGGTGTAAAAAAAGAATGATCATGCAAGAATACACTGTTTTAACAACTTTAGGCACAGTCAAACAGACACAAACTGACCCGTTAGATAGTTTCTTTGGTGTGTCTCCCCAAACCGTTGTTGTTGGCACCAACCATAGAACCGTTTCCTGGTTCCGACCAGCTGTGACGAATAACGGCTGCTGGTGAGGCTCAAACGGCGCTGCTGCTGCTGCAGCAGGACAGACAGAGCGCTCTGGGCGCCGTACCTGTTCATCTGGCTCTTTTAATAGTTACCTTTGCTCATATGGGTGCAGTGTGTGGGCTGTTTGTTTATAAGGCATATTTTGAAATAGACCTTTAATGTCTGTCTTCTAAAAATGCAGTGTTATTCGGTTTGCTCTTATTTTGTGCTTTATTGCGCCTTCTTGTGGTGAAATTTAAAAACAGCAGCGCATCGTTTTCAGAACAGCAAATATGGGAAAAGTTGAAACTCTTGTTTGTGTTTTTTTTCGTCGGAGACTGAAGTGAAATAAGTTAGTGTTGGCTCGATTGTGTGTGTGGGATGTGTTGTCCCCAAAACCAGTTCACAAAGTTTTAAATCTTTGCATGATTTATTATATTATAGTATTATTATATTATATTATTATATTATAGTATGTAATTCTATCATATTATTAGATTATAAATTATATTATATTATAGTTATTATAGTTAACTAAAACAAAAACCTTTAGTGAAAAAAAACCAAGACTATAATACTCCTGTAAATAATTTGCAGATACCTTGCCCATGCTGTTTGATAGTCATAAAGCTGCATACCTATTTATTATTTATCAATGCATAATTCGTAAAATTCATAAAGTAGGAATTTAAGGGTTTGGGAGGGGTTACAATGACTTAAAATAATGATGTACCCTAATTGTGTTTCTTCATTTATTCAGTTTTCTAAAGTTAATGATAATATATTTTAAGTAATAGGAATTACAAAAATCAACGAGAATGAACTAGGATTTACAGAGTAACCAAATTAACCAATTAATGTTAATATCTACAACCATTTTCTTTGGTCCGTATGTTCTCTGAGCTTAACTAAAGGTCATGAACATTATTATTATTATTATTATTATTATTATTATTATTACTACTACTACTACTACTACTACTAACTGAAAGTGACGTTTCATCAATTAATTTATCATCGTCTTTTGATCACATGGGTCCTGATATTTAAATGTAAATATTTAAATAGAACATCCAAATCTGATTGTGAATTATACAAAGACGTTACATACAAATACAGAAATAGTACAAATAAGTCAAATGAGTACTGCTTCATCTGAGGTAAAACTATACCATTTCTTCCATTAACACCAGTCAGAAAAGTTCTGTGGCATTTCTTCTCATCATACCGGTTTTAGTTGCTGGGCATGAATGGGTTAATCTTTGCGTAGTACTATTAGGTTCAGTATGGCTCGAGATGTTAGCAAAAAGCAAAAAATGAATACGACACACAGCACTAAGACTGGTTTGCCCAGAAACCGGGAACAGCCTAAACACATCTTTGCTCAAATTTGTTCAGGCATCTGGTCAGATTACTATATGATGACGCGGGAGGCGTAGGGCCTTGAACTTCTCAATGGCCAATGAGAACGTCCTTCATCCGGGCCATGTTTAACATACGGCTTCGGTTGATATCTGGAAAATCCTCCTTTACCCTCATTGCTGAAGTTATACAGCGTTAATGACTGAGGATAAACTGCTCAAGCTGATACCAAGTGGTAGGAGGTTCTCCTAACTTTTCAGCTCGCTTTTTGTGGAGACTGAAGTGTTGTCAAGAGTGTCATGACTACTGACTGCCGACTAGATATCCACCCACCGGTAGCCGGGTTTGTTTACAGGTAGTGGTGTGAAGACTCTGGCGTGTTGCCAGTCAGACGACTTAGTTAAGGCAAACAGATAACGCTAAGTTATCTGTTTGAAAGTAAAGCTTAGTGAACACAGCTCAGGTAAAAGCTGCCGTTAGGAACCAAAACAGTGTGGTTTTACTGTTTCGCTGCGGGTGGGCTAACAGTAGAGTTAGCTGTTCAAATTAGTAGATGTCACTGTTTACCTTATGAAAGCAGCATTTTTAATATGTGGTTACAGTTTTACGTTACATAGGTGATCAAATTTTCAGAAGGATAGCTTGGTAGCAGAAGCCAAACTGCCACTATGAGGATTTTAAGGACTTTAATGAACAGCGCTTCTATCGGGAAGCTGGTTGACCAGTATTCCCGATTCTCTCCGTCGCCTCTTTCGATGAAACAGTTTCTGGATTTCGGTAAGTTTCTGTTTCTGTATAGCTGTGTTTTATGGAAGCATTTTTTCAGAACACGATAAACTATCTGCAACTTTGTGTCTTCTTTCCCCAGGTTCAGAAAATGCGTGTGAGAAAACGTCGTTTATGTTCCTGAGGCAGGAACTGCCAGTCAGACTGGCAAACATTATGAAAGAGATTAACTTGTTACCTGATAACCTGCTGAGGACGCCTTCGGTGCGCTTAGTGCAAAGCTGGTGAGTGAGTCTATAGGCTTGAGCGAAGGTGAAGTTACAGCTTCTTATTCATAGTTTTCATCCCACCTGTACAGCCAGCTTCAGCCTCGTTAGACTGGACCACATAGTGGGAAAATGTTTAGTTACTGCATGTGTACTTATTGCTTTTGTTTGACATTTCTTTCCAGGTACATTCAAAGCCTCCAAGATATCCTTGAGTTCAAGGAAAGAGATGCCAGCGATGAAAAAGTGATATTTGAGTATGTATTTCAACATTTGGAAGTGTACTACTTAGTTAGGGATGAATCGGTACAACTTTTTCTGTTTCTATATTGACACCTGATCCTCAAATATCTGCCCATACCAAGTACCGATACAGATCCTAATTCTGTCTAACCCAACTACTCAGTAGGAGTCCATAAATCTTACCATCTACACCATTCCACTTTTTAAATGTTTATGTATTATTTTGGTAAAAGCAGTATTCACAAATAAAACACTAAGCTTGAATGAATGGCATTTACTGATTAGATAACTTCACATTGCTGAAAAAAATAGCTGTGCCCCTGATTTATTTTTAAAAGTTTAATTAAATATGATTGAAATTCTTGCTGGTCGTGCCACCCAGCATCGGTACAGCACGACTACCAGTACCTGTTGGTTTTTGTATTGTTGTGCATTTACCTCTCACCTTAGCCTTTGTCAACACATTGCTGCTGCTCTTAGTTTCACAGATGCTGTGGTAAAGATCCGCAACAGACATAATGATGTGGTTCCCACCATGGCTCAGGGAGTGGTTGAGTACAAGGATACCTACGGCACTGACCCAATAACTAGCCAAAATATGCAGTACTTCCTGGACCGCTTCTATATGAGCAGAATCTCCATCAGAATGCTCCTCAACCAGCACAGTGAGATCCTATTATTATCCTATAGCCTATTTTGTTTGTTTGTTTGTTTGTACACATAGTAGTAGTAGTAGTAGCAGCAGCAGAAATAATGAATTGTAGTCTGCCTCACATATCACTTGTGTATGTGGCCTAATGAAGTACACAGATTTACACCTCAAATGGAGTTGTTAGCCTATTTGTCAATTTGAAGTTTTTTCCTTCACTCAGTGTTTAGTGAAGATCTGTATCACAGACAACATACTTGTTTGTGCCCATTTTAGCCCTGTTGTTTGGAGGACGAGTGCGGGTGAATCCAGCTCATCCTAAGCAGATAGGCAGTATTGATCCTCACTGTCATGTTACTGATGTGGTTAAAGGTAAGAGACTTACAGGATATAACAGTGACCAGAGTCAGATTCATGACTGTTGTTAATATTCATACCTGCTTGGCTGTTCTGGTAAACAAGTCATGTTAATGGAAAGGGCTTTGAAAAAGTGCTATATTTGTTTTTGTTGCAGATGCATATGAAAATGCTAGAACATTATGTGACCGATACTACATGAATTCACCAGAATTAAACCTGGAAGAATTCAATGGTAATGGAACTATCAGTTTCTTTATATTCTTGATAATGAAAAAAAATCATTAAGAAATCATTAAATCATTTAACAAAATTAATTATTTTCTGTCTGGAATTCTCTTTGCAGTCAAAGAACCTACTAAACCCATAACTGTGGTTTATGTGCCATCCCATTTGTATCACATGGTATTTGAATTATTCAAGGTACTGTGTGCAGTTTCTGGCCTTTTAAATGTCTATTAAAAAGTTATATTGAACTGAACATAAGTTGTGGGGTAAGCAAAATAAGTATAAATCATTAACCGACTCTGCTCTGTGCTTAAGATTAAGGGTATACAGAGTTATTATGTTGCTTTATGCTGTTTGGGGAGTTCAAATCTAATAATATGCCCTGTGACTCCTTTAGAATGCCATGCGAGCCACAATGGAGCTGTGTGGAGATGCTATGGAGTATCCTCCGATTTGTGTTCGGATCACCCTGGGCAATGAAGACCTTACTGTAAAGGTACAGACACACGCTCTATTCTTTAAGTTACATGATATTCTTCATCTGTGGCGGTGTTTTGTGTTTTATTTTTGCAAATGATAGCATATAGTGTACAGTGAATGGATACAGAACGCGGAAAAAGAAAGCATCGAGATCTGGAAAACATTGGTATTGCTTTTCTTTGCTATATTAAAACACATCTGGTGACCTCTCAGGCCATCCAGAATCCTGTGTTTTCCACTTGTAAATATGACTTTGTCAGCTGTTCAAGTGTAATTTCAAAGTCCTTCATATACATAATTTTCAGTTTCCAACACCACTCATTAGTGGATCTTCCATCACAGACATTTGATTGTTCTGTTAAAGTATACATATGTGTAGGAGTTTATCTTTTTCAAACACAGATCAATTTCAGATTTTCAAAGTCCATTTCAAATGTATCAATCCTGTGCTCTCATAGGTCAGTGATCGTGGGGGTGGAGTTCCACTGAGGAAGATTGACAGGTTGTTCACATACACTTACTCTACTGCTCCTCGTCCTCAGATGGACTCTGCTCGCGCTGCACCTCTGGTCAGTTTAATCTTAAGCTGCACTGTTTACTGATGGGCAGAAATGTATAGAAATGTAGCTGTTAAACGCCCAGGCAGGGGCTCCCGAGTGGCACAACCGTCTAAGCGTTGGCCCTATCATCAGGAGATCGCGAGTTCGATCCCTGGTGATGCTACAGCCGTCCTTAGCCGGGAGTCCAAGAGAGCACAATTGGCCTCGCTTTCTCTGGGTGGGTAGGATGGCGCCCCCCTCTCCCCCCACCACCCAGCGCGATGCTAGTCGGCGCAGGCATCTGTTAGCTGACGTAGCAGATCTGGCGGTTGGCGCTTTCCTCCGAGCGCGTTCAACTGTCCAATGACGCTGCGTGAGCGGCAGCTCGAAAAGATGCGGTGGCGCTTCACAGGTCTCGGAGGAAGCCTGTGTTAGCCTTCACCCTCCTAGCGTTGGTAGTATCGTGTGATTGGGGGAGTCCTAACTAGCAGGTGGAATTGGAGACGACAAAATTGGGGAGAAAATCGGGTAAAAAAATCCAAAAAAAAAAACAAAAACATCCAGGCAAACACATGCACACTTTTGTATTGCACAATGTCAATTCATCATATTTATAACATACTGCTGTCCAAGACTTATGTGTTTTGGCTAGGCCTGTGCTCAGTGATGGTTAACAGAGAGTTTTGAGAGTGTTCCTAATTGTGGATGCACGATCAAATTAATAGCGCGAGTTAAAATTGAAAACATTTGTCAAGTTTTCCCAGCAGTTATCCGAATAGTAGTAGTAGGCCAAGTTATGGCTGTCAACAATGAAATGTTTGGTCTATATGTATGACTTTTAATGTTACATTAAATCCCACTAATTAAGAAAGTTGTCTTTAGGCTGGTTATGGCTATGGTCTTCCCATCTCCAGACTTTATGCTAGGTACTTTCAGGGGGATCTGAAGCTCTACTCACTTGAGGGCTATGGCACAGATGCAGTTATATACATCAGAGTAAGTGGTTTTATGTACATTTAGGAAAAAGATTAAATATATTTCATTGTTTCTGTGGTTGAAATGATGAAGTTGGAAGTGTGCTGAAATTGTTATTCAGAGATTTAGAGTGGCACAAAAAATTTGTCTGAAAAAATTATCCAATTAAAAGAAAGGTAGTCTGTGTTTTGTTAATTGGAATTATAAATCACTCTTTTTGAAGGCACTTTCTACAGAGTCGATCGAAAGGCTCCCAGTATATAACAAGTCAGCATGGAAACATTACAAGACAATCCATGAGGCAGATGACTGGTGCGTGCCAAGCAAAGAGCCCAAAGACATGACCACCTTCCGCAGTATTTAGAGCTCTGTACTTCAGGCATCATCCATGGTCTAGAAATCACCACCCCTGGGTCTCGGCATCAAGACACAGCAGAGACAAGGGCTTCATCAAATGGGAACATTTTTATTGCAGTGTAGTGGATAATTGTGTATTAGGATGCTTTGTAGATATTATGACCAGTCTTTGCACTACTGGGAAAAAAAGTTTTGTTTGCAGTTGCATTGTAAATTAGCTTGAGTGATCCATTAATTTTCTAGTGCCATGCATCCGATAGATATACAACATGTCTTAGTTTAAATGCCTTTCAGGTATGTATTGGTGTTACAGGTCGAGCAGTATTATGTACTGCTCCATGATGCTTTCTAAACAAAGGTATTACTTTATAAAATTAATTATTTATTTTAGTTTTGGAAAAACATTTTCGGAATTGTTTACAACAATGCATGTATCACGTTACTCCGAATTCTGGAAGGTGTTATCCTTGAAACCAAACACTAATAGGTCATCAGGCTAATGCTGAAAGGATCAACTGACTCTTATGTAACATAGACCGAGTGGTCTGTGGTGTTAATTGTCACTGTTCAGCTAATTATGTGAACTGTCTTAGTTTTTCTTAACACACATTGGAACTTTCTGCAAAAGTGTTTCATCTCCAGATCATTTCTCATGTGTATTAAAGACTTATTCTCAGTTTTAATGCTTATGCGTTAATCTGAAATACAACCAAATTTTCATTGCATCACATTCCATTATGGGCTAAGTGTTTATATTGTGGGTTTATTTTTCTCCTCAGCTTTGAGAGCGGAGTGTGCAATGATAATGGTAATGTACAGAGTTGAAATGGATGTTTTTAACTCTCTGATACTTTGTATAGCCAAGGGTCATATTACCCTGCTGCTTTGTATTGAAAACCTTTTAACAGGAGCATGAGTGTGAGCTGTGCTTCCATTCACCATGATTATTTATATTAAATGTAAAACTGTTAAATTATAGGGCAGATCAAGTGTACAGTTGTTTGATACCCATTTTGATGTTGCAACAAAATAAAGGGGGAGGGGAGTACCCCAACTGGTCAATAGTCATGTCTTTCACTGACTTCACAGGTAACTGTCACAGTGTAACTAAAAGTATAGATAAAAATATTCCTTGCATATCATGCATACCTAGTTAATTACAAAAAGTAATGGAGTTGCAGGTACAGTTATTGGATGAAGCCCATCTGTTGCTATGCACTTGTTAGTGTTACTGGTGTTTTTAAACACATTTTCACTGCTCAGCTGAGAATACTGTCACCCCAAAACATACCATGTTGGTATCCCTGCTGATACCATGAGTTAACAAATTTAGCACCAGCAGATGGCTATGGTCAGTAACTGCATACCTTAATCTCTTCCAAAAATGTAGGAATGGCAAGGCCAGTTTTTTTGTTCTTGCTGTACACTGAAAACATTTAGCTTTGAGATCAAAGTATGAATTTGAGATGATGGATAAGAATTTCAACTTTTATTTCCTGATATTTAGATCTAGATGTGTTAAACAACTTAAAACATGGCATATTTTTTTGAACCCATCCATTTTTCAAGAGAGCAAAAATACTGGAACATGTAATTGGCAGGTGTTTCTTGTTTCCCTGGTGAGCCCTGTGAGATTAACTGTCTAAACCATTAACAGCTCTGAATGTCCACTCTTGGTTTGGGTCATCGGTTTTGCTTGTAAAGACTGCATTTGTTGTTAAAAAGTATAAACCAGCATGAAGGCTGGAGAACTGTATATGGGAGAAAGGCAGGCCATTTTGAAGCTGAGAAAAGAGGGAAAATCTGTTGGAGCCATTGCACAAGCAAGGGGCATAGCCAATACAACAATTCTGGAATGTCTCGAAAAAGAAAGCACGCCAATTGTTTCCATCAACCAGACATCAAACAGGTCGGCCAAGAAAAACAACCACAGTTGATAAACATTGAGAGCTGTGAAGTAAAACCTCAGGATAGTCAGTGGCATCAACAACTGCCACAGGGCAGGGGTGAAGGTATCAGAATCCACTGTTCGTAAAACACTGCAGTTATTGCAAGCAAGGGATATGAAACAAAATATTAAACCTTACTTGCTTTAATTTAGCTTAAAACTACGTTATTATATTTCTGTTCTCATATCTCTAAAAATTGCGTGGTCTGTCACCAAAGGCGCCTTGTCGTAAGTAGTTTAACACATGCAGATGTAAATATCAGGAAATAAACTCTAAAATTCTGATCGACTCATTCATCTTTTGATCTCAAACTCAAATGTCTTTAATGTATGGCAAAAACAAAAGAATTGGCCTTGCTGTTCCAATATGTACATAGGAGACTGTGTTTGGTATGTGTACCTGATAAAATGACCAATGAGTGTAGGTACAAGGTAGGTGTAACCGGCAACTCAGAGTATCAGATTACTCACAACATGCTGGCACATCAAAAAGCCATGTGAAAATGAATTTATTGGTGCAGCTTATACACTTGTACCAGAGAAATGATTGGATATCAGGACCTCACATGTTAAGACAAATAGCCCTGTAGCTGAACAATCACTATCGTCCCTTTGCAGGCAAATTTACGGGGTTTAATTAGTCAAGACTTTGCTAACATTCAGGATGACTCAAAACAGACTAAATGAGAACAGGCAATGCAGACAAAACTGAAAACAGGTAATGATTGCTCTACATCAAAACTGATTGCACTCTCCCTTGTTCAAACAAAAGAAAACAACTGAATCTTGCAGTATAACTTGAAACTGTCCCCTAGTTTGGTACTATATCACTGATATACTGTATAAGATTCGCAGTGGTCAGTTAGGCAAAAAGAAATCACCATAACCAACACAGTCAAAAGGACAAGCTGCAGCAACACCTTTTCACTTTTTCTCCTTTTATAATCTGCAAAATGAGTACATATGACCTATTCTACTCAGTAGAAAAGTGTACAAAAGTTAAAATCAATAATGTTTTTTTTTTCTTAAAGCCATGCAGTTAATAGATGTGTATAAAACATTTTATTTGTACATTAAAAAAACCAGATCAACCTTTGTCTCTTAAAAGACAATATAGTGCTCTCACTCTATGACTGTACAAAGTTCCAGCAAAAAAAAAAAAGGTCTATACAGGGCCACAGGTGACACTTGTCCTTTTACAAAATAAAGATATCAAATGTTTTCAAAGCATTACACGTTCCACAGCATTAGTGGTATTTGTGTGTGAAAATGATACAGCCAACTGTCAAATCATATTCCCTCAAAACAAGAAATGCTCTTTTTCATTGTGCTCATAAAATACAGTAAAAATCAATTTGGTCTATTAAAGTTAGTCCAATAAAATCACACTCAGCTAGAGGTTCCACAGCTGGTTGTCTAATAAAACACTTCTCTAACCAATGCATCTGGCCCAAAGAAGGGTTTCAGTCTTGTCGTCATGCAACAACAGTACACTAGTAATAGTACAGGTGAATTAGGACATTTTCTTCCAGCATTTGTTCTTAACAGGTTGTGCGAGGCAGTGGACATTTGGGAAAGTGTACATGGAGTAGACATACATTGGTGTATCCTTTGGAGTTAAGGCCTAAGGTGAAGGATCTGAAAAGACTTGGCAGGTCTCACACTTCAAGATTCTTAAAATGTGCTTCACTCACTGCACCTATCAGGATTAAGAAGAGCAGCTAATTCATATAGCTCTGTGAGGTTTTGCACACTATTTACACTGATTAATAATAGATTAATTGCTCACTAGAGTGCCTTAATGACTAACATTGGCTAACAATTCCTACCAAGAGCGTGCTGCACATAGCTGTAGAATGGAAAAAAGCCATCAGCTGCCTGCTTGCCACAAACTAGTGTGTCAAGGCTTTAGAGGATAGAAAGAGAGAGATAGAGAGATAGAGACAGGAAAAAGAGCAAGAGACCCAATGGCCTCAGCAGACAGAATCAGTGTTGCCCGACAGTCTACCGCTTCGTCTTGCTTCTTTCTCACGTTTCTCGCGCTGTTTCTCCAGTTTCTCCTGTGCTTTTTTCATGTCCTTCAGCTTCTTCTTAATCATGGCACGATCACTTTGGCTAGAGACCCCAAGCACCTATGACAGAAATGTATTTTTTAAGAAAAGAAAAAAGAAAAAGAAAGAAAGATACATTATGATTACAGTCAGGTAATCCTTTTCTTTGAGAATCAATATATTGTCCTTGTTTCTCTAGCTAGATCTGGTCAAATGGACTAACAATGCCATTTGATAAACACGAACGCTGAGGCAAAGCTTGAAGAGGAGACTTTTACAAAGAGAGTCTGTGGCGCAAAAGACAAACAGAAATAGTACCATTTTGAAAAGAAGTGTAACTAAAGTTCAGTGAATGGGCAAACATTAACTTTTGATCCTGAAAAATGATGTATTACACAAGACGTTACAGTTTACTTACATTAAGATCAATTTGTGCACTTTGTGAACTTCAAACTAAATTTCTAATTAATGTAGAAGTGAGGGAATGTGTTTTCCAACTACTAAAATAAACTTTACGTTTACAGTCCAGGTATACTTTGCACAATGTAGAGGTTACAGGTGATGACTGTGTGTGTGTGTGTGTGTGTGTGTGTGTGTGTGTGTGTGTATGAGTGAGTGATGGTAGGAATGCATGTTTTAATTTTCTTCCTAAATTCTTATTTGATTACTGGCTCCACATAATGCACACAAATACTGATTTATTTTGCTTGAATCATTCACCCACTTTGAGTTTGTCACTGTCCAGGTTCAACAGCTGCTGTCCATCAACACCCTTCGTAGTAAACTCCGGAGTGTACTGGTCCATGTTCATGCCCATCAGCCAGTGACAGACCTGCTGAGTTGTCCATTCAGAGACTGGGCGGTTCTGCCACTGGTAGTCTTTCCCTCCAGAGCAAGGCTCATCATCCAGCGTCTACACACATGTACCACACACATACATATGCTTAACTTGATGCTGCAATTCGAGCTTGTGATCATTCTATGAGTTTAAATAGACCCTTTTCTCTATAGTTATATATCAAGATGCACAGCAGTAGACATGTGCCGGTATTCAGTAATTCTGTATACGGCGATATTAAACATGCACAGTAATGTTTATCATGGACACTTTGAAATACACTCACAGCAATTTAGTCAAATAAGTTGCAGTTTCACCAAAGATTTTAAGAGGCTCAGAGCAGCTCTTTCACAAACTCCTGCTACACTGTCACGGTCTGATGTGATATGCCGTGCTGTGCTCCCTCCTCTGAGCGGAGCCTATAAACAAATCACAGCTGCCACAGCATGGCAAAAAGAAGCTGTAGACAGAGCATATCTCCATGAATAAGGTGAAAACTCACATTCTGCCCAGTTTGGAGAGGGGATAAAATGCTCTCATTAATACATGAGTGTGTGCAGTCAGAAACTTTAAGAGTATTAAATAAAGGGCACGAAAGCAAACCCAACTTAACCTTACGTAAGAATTTGCTTTTGTTTAACGAAAAGCTTGGCAAACAGCTAACAGGCCAATGCAGTAATATTGAGAGTTCAGTTTTCAGCTGAAATGTTTACTAAATGATTCACTATAAAACTGGAACATACAAAGTAAAAAAGCTTTCCACATAAAGCCCTGTTATATAACGAATGGCGCAGCAGGTACATGATTATTCAATATAGTACAGTATATGACATTTTTATGTTGGTACAGTACAGGTTCTAGTAGCATGTTCTATGCTGTATCATGATAAAATTTTTATTTACCGGCACATGTCTACACAGCAGCAACACTTACATTTTCAAACACATTTTTAAAGTAGATGCTTCCTGACAATCAAAAAGAAGTATAATCTTGTGTCATGCATGGCAGGTGCAGTGTGAACAGATCTTATATTTCCTTTCTGCAAATAGCACAGTTTACTTTCAGTAATCATGCACTAAATCACTGCAGCATATCATTTGATTTAAATCACAATACAATAGCAGCCCCTCTCATGGCATGCAAGGTTTACCAATATGGAAAAAAAAGGATCACAAAAAATAAATCAACAAAAGAAACAGCTGAAGTGCAACAGCCACTATGTGATTGTCATCATATACCAAGGCAGATTACAATAAGCAACACATTAAACAGCAGTCACTCTGGCCCTAGAAAGCATACTACAGACAATACATGCAGCCTTACACTCCATTCATAAGTAAAGCTAAAAAAAGCCAAAGTAGGAACTACGCAGTGCTCATTATGAGGGGCGACTTCCCCTCTGCAAACAATTCTTGACCTTCATGATAACCTTTTTCTGGCAGGCCCAAAACAACAGAAGCAAAAGGAGTTCAGTGTGGGGTTGCTGTGCGCCACTCACCTCGTTGGAAGAGAAGGTTAAAGTGTGCGCGCGGCCTGACAGGTTGGGCTCTGCCACTAGCCCTGCTAACTCTGAACTGGGACTGCCTGGATTCGACTCATCTAGCACTGACCAGCTCTGGAATAGGTGGGAAAACACAACATATTCACCTGTAACAAGCTAGGCTAATTATTTCAAATGCAGAGAGAGCAGGCACTTATTCACAGAGAGACACTGTGTGACACAGAGGTTAAAAACCCAGGCTGTCAAAACGTGCTGACCCTGCTGATCTGCCACAAAAAGTTACTTATCAAGTTTACTAAATATAGAAACTGCTAAAGAGAGTTCTACATGTGTGTTTACTAAAGCTTGTCTAAAGTCTAAGCGCCACACAAAAGTCAAATTTCCATTCAACTTCCATTCAATGCAGAGAGAGCAATGGGATATTTCACAATCGGGAATATCTAAAATTAGGACATTCAGAGTTCACCTACTTTCAGTAAAGATAGGTTTCAATAACCTGAGACAACATAACTAGTAAATGCACAACAGGGCCAGCACTGTCCACAGAGGGTGACATTCAGCAAGATCAAATCAGCATGCAGAACTAACAATGGTCTCAGTTACATGGCAACAAATCGACAACTACTCTACCACAACTACAACTATCAGCACAAGGGAGGGGGCAGACGGACAAACAAACAAACAAACAAGAAAACACTACTCCACTACAGCAAACATCATCACAATACACAACATTTCTGTGCCTATAAAAGTTTCTAAACCTACTCATGTTCACTACAGCAATGTATAGAGCACATCTGAGAAAAAGTGGACATGCAGGTAACCAGATTTCACAGGATATACAAATAAGGTCAGGCATAAACTAAAAAGTATACTCCTATACAAGAAGATGCCCCAGCAGCATGCACTAATTACATCCAAAAAACAATGATTCTATCGTATTAGTATGATTTCAACTACAATTCTACCAATATTTTGTTAGCTTGCGTCTAGAAGTAAATGAATCTCCTTCAAGAGTCAGGGGGAAATATACTGTACCAAATCTAAAGATCGACTGAACAAAGAGGACCAGGAGAGGTTTGTCTGTTTGGAAAAAGGGATGTTAGTCAGCGAAGGCATCAGTGGCATTATGATTATCTCCTCAGCATGGTATAATGTTCATCCACTTCAGATTGCAGATCCAGTTTCAGAGGCTTTAGTTCATGCCTTATGTTGAATTAGTCCAGGCTATCTGAACAGATTAAAAGTGTTTAAAGTGATTCTCTGTGAGCTAAGCCTGGGAATCCTCCTCTGTCTCTCTCATCTATTTCTTCTCCTCTCAACTGCCCTCTTTCTGTCTCAATCTCCTCTCTCTCAGTGCCCCTTTGCTGATCTCTCTCAATGTCTCCGCCCTTCTTCTCCTCTTTCTTCTTCCTTCTCAACTCTCTCTCCCTCTCTCATCCCATTTCCTCCTCATCTGTCTCACTGATTAATGATGAGTACCATATGGTTAGTGAGGCAGGAATGCAGCACATCTGAGTTCCCAGATCTTTCTCAGTTTCAACCTCTGCCTCTCAGGCTTTCTGCCATGTGTTTAGGTAGTCAGACCTGTTTATAAACTAGCAAAAACTTCTCTTCTTTTTTGGCGGTAAAACAGGAGTAGTAAAACAGGTTTAAAGGAAACACCTGGACATCAATAAGTGGGATCTATAAGATGATTCTACTATGCTCTGGCTTCAATTAAGCCAAAAGAAAGCATACAGAATGGGAGATCTCAGAATATCTGTAACTAAGTTCTATAGGCTAACAGTCTTTACATTACTCAAAGCTCTCCTCTGGTAATAACAACTTGTGCACATACTATCCCAGAACTAGCTCAGAGTTCACCAAAAAAAGCACAAGGGAGCATATTAAGAGCTAACTTCGTGCTATATTTTAATAAGCGTGTTTTTAGCCTTGTTCTTTGGTAGTGATAATACTATAAACCTTCAAATCCAAAAAACCTTGGACAGTATGTGAAATGCAAATAAACCCAGAAAGGAGTGACTTTTGACAGGTGTTTAAAAAAAACAGTACAAAACAAGACATTTAATGTTTTACGACATCAACTTTCTTATTTTTTTCATTAATATACGCTCATTTTTAAACTGATGTCTGCAACACTTTCCAAGAGTTTGAACAGGTTTTTTACGACTAGGAACATTGTACAATGTTCAAAAAACAAACAGGTAATACAAATCATTTCTTAGACATAAAAGGAGTATCCGGGAAGGGCCGAATCCCTAATGAGCAAGGAGGGGTAGAGGCTTATTAGTGTCCATAGCATAGGTAAACTGCATCTGTAAAAGGCACTGTTAACAGATGTACACATTTTTAGGAACATATGCAGATTTCTAGATGATGTCCTTTTCAGGGACATCCATGCTTATTTCAATATGTCAATGCCAAGCCACATTCTGCCTGTGTTAAAATAGCATGGCTATGGAACAGTGCAGGTGCTATAGTGGTCTGCCTTCCTGAAAAGCAAATATAATGTAAAAATATAACGACAAAGGCCCTGTATGGCTGCACAGCTGAAGACTTGTGGAACAGTGGAATTGCCAAAAATGTTGCTTTAAAAGTGGATCAACTGGTGTCTTAAGTCATCAAACATTTAAGTGTTGTTAAAAGCAAAGGTGATGTAACAGCAGTAAAGATGATCTTGTTCCCTAAATCACTGCTTTGTTGTTATTAGCATTTCACATACTGTCCCATTTTTTGGAGCTGACGTTTGTAAAAACTAGCCTTTAAGTTGCAGTAATCACTGACTAAAGCTTTAAAGGTGTTTACCATGCACCAGATTTTTGTGCTGACTGCTAAAGCCATTTTAAAATGCTGTTACAGTGCTAAGCAATTTTATTTTTTTCCCCATATCCTTTCCACAGACACAGACAGTTTTATCTCCATAATGACACTGCTGCAGCAGATTAGCTTCTACAAATCCTTTCATAAGCTAATGAAATGAGCAAAAACATAACAGCTAGCATAACAGCCAACACATTTGGTAGAATAACAACGTAATCTATTAATTACAGTCCTTCAGAATTACATGGTTGTAACAACAGTAAGAATGTAAGAGTGATATAGTCTCAGCTTGTTTCAACATGTACTTGCAGGTTGCTAGTACACTAAACAAGCAATTGCACACTAAACTATGGACAGCAGGGGTCACTAGAATTGTGACTGTTCTGTCCCAGACAGAGGTAACTAACTCAAAGGTAACCAGAAAATAGAAGAAGCACCTTGTTCTTACGGTCCTGCTGTTCACTAGGCTCTGCTGCAACGTAGGGCAGACTACTGGAGGAACAGGAGGGATCTCGCTCTCTCTCTTTCTCCTTCTCCTTGTCACCAAACCAAGAGAAAGGCATACATGTGGGGATGGATGCCATGGACTCTGAAGGAGAAACGTTTACTCCTGTCTCTTCAAGCAATTCCGCTGATCCCCTGGACACAAGCAGGGCAAACTGTGAATACCAACTCCACATGAGAACTGTAGTGTAATGAGTGAAGAAAAGAGAAGGGGGGCTTTTGGATGCAATTTTCTGAGTAAGGACTGAAGGAATTCTGCACTAAGTATGGATAAAAAATCACTGCTCAAAATGCAGCATCTGCTTGAACATTTGCATTTGCAGTGAAGCAGGTAGAAACAATAAATCTGACACACTGTCTACCTGCTGTCGAGTGATGCTCTCATGGCTTCTTTGTCATGTTTCTTTCCTTTCCCGCCAGACTTCCTAAGGCCACTGTAAGAAAGCAGACTCTAAAGTCATGAAGAGCTTGTTGCATTCGGCCAGTCACACTGGAGAGTGTTAAAAATGTATCCCACCTACCCAAAATCTGGGAATCGTCTTTTGGATTTTCCTGCACCATCACTTGACTCATCTAAAATAAAAAAATTAATACATAAAAAATAAGGCATAATAAATGAGATATAAGCTTAGACACACTGTTAGAACTGTTTACTGTCAAAAGGGGTTTGCCACACAGTACAGAATCACACTAGCTCAGAAACACTGTTGTCTCATGACAAGAAATGTTTTATTTTAATCAAAACCATTACTATATACAGCATGTTACCTTTATTGTCTTTGCATTTTCCTTTGGACTCTCTCTTCTTGACATTTCTGAGAAATCCAGAGGGGGAGGAGTCTTTGGGTGGGGAAAGGGTAGAGCTCTCTGTACTGTCTGCACTAGCTCTATGAGAAGAGGGTCGCTCCATTATATTTTTGGTGCTGCTAGGCTCCTCCCTCTGCCCGTTAGCTGGGTGAGATACGGTGACTGGTAGAGACAAGCTTTCTTGGATAGACCTCCGACGGCGACAAGGAACCTCAGGACTTGGAGACTCATCTTCTTCAGCCTAGAGAGAGAGAGAGAGAGAGAGAGAGAGAGAGAGAGAGAGAGAGAGAGAGAGAGAGAGAGAGAGAGAGAGAGAGAGAGAGAGAGATTCTGAGAACACTTTTTAGGAACATAAGGTTCTTTTCTTCAGCAGTATGGATTGTATTTATTCCAGACCTGAGGAGGACACGATGGGGAGCTGAAGGCCTCTCTCAGTTTGCTACGTGAAGGGGGTCTCTTGGCCTTTTGGGCTAGCTGGCCTTTGGCTCGATGGGCACTGGTGTCTAAACGCTCAGTCTCAGGGACTACATCACTCCAGTCGGTTTCTGACAATGAGATAATATTTTGAATCATAGTTCTCTTCAAATATTGTTTTGCTTTGTTTTTTTTAATAATATTTAAATATCAGAATTCAACTGACTTACAATAATGTCTTTTAGGGCTGTTTACTACAGCAACACAGCTGGTAGCCTACATGGTGTTGTCTAAAGTTTGTTTTTGGTGCTACAACTATTGTATGTATGGCTCTTGTCACATAATTTAGTGGTGCAGTAAGCAAGAATCTCAAATGAAGAGCTTTGAACAAGGACAAACAATGCCATCAACAACATCAGCAGTATGTTTATGATAACTACACTGGCATTAAAAGGAGGAGATCTGACAGGCTCAATACATGGCTTTGGATTAGTGGGATCTCCGTGATCCTAACTTAAGCATATTTGCAGACGGTAGCTGTAGGGTTCCAGTAAGACTCCTCAGATTACACAACATACTTATACAGATCCATACCAGCTCTATATCAAACAGATGATACAAAAAGTCCATTGTATACTGAATGTTTTAACACTAGACTTGCTTTTCTGTTGCTCTGTGAGAAAGTGTTTTAAACTGACCTGTAAATTTCAAATCCAGGACCTTAGCCTGCAACTAACATCAATAAAAAGGTTTAAACTAGAAGCACACAATGGCTTAAAATTTTTGGACTACATCCTGATCCACTACTAATGGAGCATAAATGGTAATACTGATCCAGTTTCACAAAAAACAGGAACTGGAATGGCAAAGAGAGGCTAAATTACCTGGTAGAAGGGAGTCTGCAGATTTATTGTCTGAAGCTCCAGGTCCCTCATTACTGCTCTCTGCTGTAGAGTCCTGAGACTTGGTCTGGCTCTCCAAGGCTGCTACCTACAAACAAGAGTCAGATATATTTCTTCCAATAGAGATTAGTAAGAGCTCAATAGCAGCCAACCAACATACTGGCCAAGCTCTAACAGACTTAGAATGTCAATAGAAGAGGCGAGGGGAGGAGGGGTTCTCCCTGGGACTCAACAGAATTTGTTTGTTCTTACTCTCTGCTGTAGATCCTCAAGCTGAGTTTTGTACCAGCTCTCCCTCTCCTCCAGCGTATTCTTTAGATCTTCCTCCCTCTTTGCAAAGTCAATCTCTCTGTAGCATTCAGGAATTAAATGTCGGAGTAGTCCACAAAATATTTCCATCCATATACACAATATACAGCATACATGCAACAATATACAGCATACGATGTACATTAACACAGCCTGTACTCACTTCTGCTGGTAGTCCTTCAGCAATTTCTTGGCTTTGCTGTATTTCTTATCCAGAGCCTCATATTGGTTCTGAGTGTCAGTTAGCTGTTCATTGATGGCTTTGCAGAGTGCCTGAGCTTCCAGCCAGTTCTTCTCCATGTATGTGATTCTTTCAGCATTCTCCTCTATACTCCTCTCTAGCTGCGCCTCCCGTGTCTCCCATGCTGTCCGCTCTTTATCAGAGTCCTTCAACTGAGAAGAAATCATTCAAATATTGTTGTAAACTGTTTGCACAAAACTGCATTACATGTTCCAGAATTCTCATTAGAGCTTAAAATATTTCTTCAAACTCTCATGTCAGGTTCAGACAAGTGTGTCAGGTTCAGATCGAGCACAAAGCTCATCTTTAGATTTTCACCGCCTGCTTGTTTTTTTATTAAGACAATTTTTCGTCAGGCATGCTAAAGTCACTTGTTGTAACAAAAATTAGCACCGTGGCTGACAAAACCCACAATTGTAAGAAAATGGAAGTATAGACCTGCCAACCTCTTATTTCTAGGTAACGTTATTTCTGCAGCACTAGCACTCGCCTCTCTACCCCTCCCCTACTTGCCATGATCTGCTCATTGAGATCACAGATTTGGCTGCAATAATAATTATGAATACAGTGCTGTGAAATGTCACGTTCAACAATCTGCAACACAGACAATATAACTGAACATTACTTTGCCAACTCAAATGCAAATTACATAAAGTTAGGCTAACGTTATTAACATGAAATATTTTTCCAAGGTTGGAAAGTGCGTGTAAGCTTAAGTTAACTCAATTCACAATTTCCACATCCACCCCAGCCAGTTTATTTTTGCGAACAAGTTAAAAGCATCGTCCTCACAGCCAGACAGAGCAAGGAGGATGATTGATAGGGGGAGGGGAAAAAAGAAAAAAAACATTTCATGTTGATATCGACTTGTAATCTCTTGAAACGAATAACGCATTTGTCATCCTAGAGGAATGAACCCAGCACTATGATTAGTCAAACTCTTCTTGTTCTTCTTTTGTTTTTTCGGAAGGCTAGATGCTGCTGCCTCTTGCTATTACATTTGAGTACTGAACATGCACAATTCAACTCACAGGTGTCACCAGCTTGTTGCGTAGTTTAGAGTGACAAATAGTATCAGCGCACTTTGATGTCAAAATGAGTATCTGCCATGAAAAATGTGTAAAGGTTGGCAGGTCTGGATGTGCAAGAAATAAAACAATGAATCAATTCTGTTGAGTGCAGATTAGTGCAGCTATATTTAATTGTTTTTTTTTTCCTGATGACTGCTGTCATGGTCACTACATGGAAATTTAACTGGTGCCACTATTAGAAATACCAGATTTTATTCTGGACTCAGAGTGATGGGCTGCTTCAAGTCAGTTTTACAGGCTTTATCTGAGTTCAGACCAAAATTTTGAACTCTAAGCAAAGTGAAATATGTACCAAGATTTCCAAATTAAGCCCTGAGTCAAGGGGAATTTAAATCCAGTCCTGGAGGGCCAGCATACAGCACAGGGTGATTTCCTGATCAAATACACCTGATTTAATTAATGATATGTTTGAGTATGGGAATTATCAACACTGGCCTTAAAACTAAAATCCAAGTTTAATACCTCTGCCCTAAGCACTCTACAATGTGCAGAACTCTGAACAGAGAGAATGCTTGCATTTTTGTTTAAATCACAGATGACACTGACATTAGAAAGTCACACATACATTACCTTCTCTTTGAGCCGGTCTAATTCAGCAACAGCTAAGCTGTGTTTTATCTGGAGCTGGGAGATAAAGAAAATTCTGCGATCAGGAATAAAACAAATATGTCTATATATCTGAACCCCATGCATTATTTAATATGAATACACAGACAAACCTTTCTCAATGTAGCTTACTGTGGAGATATTTATTACTGTAATCTTACTTTGAACAAGGTCAGTATTATTAAATGTATTAAGTAATCATTTTTCCCATTAATGGCTGCTACAGTTCTCTCTAATACCTCTTTAAATTTGAAGCTGAGCTGTGCGCCATCCATATTTGATGGCAGGAACATTCCCTCGCTCTCGGGTAAATCATACACCTCCTTCACCCTCCCACCGAAACTTGAGCTCACAATCCCCTCTTCCTCTCCCTCTTCTTCTTCGTAGTGCTCGTCCTGAAACAAGCACACAGTCATGACTTCACTGAGTGAATCACAGTGTGTAGTCTCAGACAATGACAAGGGAAAGCACATGACAGGAAATGCATTATTCCCCATGGTAAACATTGAGTATTTCAAAGATCTCCATGCTCAATCAGCAACTTATCTATAATTCACTGTTACAGTTGTAGTTTAAATACTTTTTGCATCCATCAGGATACATACTTTCGGAAAGAACTAAAAATATCAAAACATTTTTCCTTGTCTTCACTAGACTTAAATAACGAATACCTGTAAGGCCTCACTAATGGTAAAAGGCCTAAAGATGAGGAGCTGAGAGCAACACTAGCTTTTATCTGAGTATTGTGAGCTATAGTGTAATCACCAGGACTCAAGGAAAAAGAACAGAATGCATTACTGCCCTTGTGCTTTGCATAATCCACATGACCACAGTGGGAACAGCTATCTATGTCCGTATATCTGTATTAACACAACAGAAGCTCTGTTCACCTAAACCAGTCATTCCCCATTCAAATGCATCACAGAATGCAAAAAAATCCTCTCTTCTTTGGAATGTAACTACTTAACAATATTCAGAATAGGATAAAGACCTTAGGGTTCTTGAGTATAGTACAGTAAATCAACCCTAGACAATAAGCTAAACATTTTTAAATCCTAAAACAGGCAGCAGGCAACACCACTGCCGTGTCTGTGAGAATACTTTGCCTCCTCGGTCAAAAATAGCTGAAAGGAGCTTCCTGAACTCTAACCCAGTCTGTGTCTTGGTACCGCTCTAAGCTCCATACCAGACAGCTCCAGGCTTACTCAGATGGTGTTGGTATGGGGCTGTGCCCTGCTGACTCACCTCTTCTGTGGACTGTTCATACGGATCCTCTAGTCTCTGCTGCTGCTGGTGCCTCTCCTGCTCCAAAGTCTCACTGATTAGCCGCGCCACCTCACTCTGCGTCCCTGGCTTCTCCCGCCCTATCAGGAAGCTGCACAGAGTACAACTGATAGGTTAGTATGGAGGAAGTGGGTGTGGTTGACCTTCGTTTATCAGTATGAAACCCTCTAGGTTACTTACTCCTAAAAGGTGTGTAGTGACCCTCATAGTAATGGTACAGTGTCTAAATGAATGTATACGTGCTAGTACAAATCTATGATGCCATGTCATAATCTGGAGGGTGACTAAACTGTAAACCTGATGTAATGGAGCAAGCAAAGCTTTTCTGTTTTTATAATGGCCCTGTACTGTGCATTTGCGTCCTTCATTTGCCTGTGGTCAAACATTTACATGCCAAGCAAAGCACTAAGGACTACTGAGCCAGCATGGGACTGGATGAAGAGCACAGTGATTCCACTAATGTAAACTATAATCACATGAGGTAACCAGTATTAAAAGCAACTCTACTAGATCCATTTGTCCATCTTCTAGGAACTGTCACTGTATCACACATGACCTTCCCTGCATCTATGGTTAGAATGTATGAAGCTCACACTTTCTAGTAGAGGCACAAAGAGATCAACACTCACTGGACAGTTCCCTTTGTGTTCTTGAGGACTGTAGCGGCAAAGAGCTGGGTCACTCCCACCAGACTGATGCCATCTACTTCTACTATCTGGTCGTTGACTTGTATCCTGGAGAAAAGGTAAACACAACCATCATTAAACACTTCCATTCAAGTAAAACATCTTTTGTGGCAATGTGCACATGAATAAATATTTCTGTACTACTTCAAAGATCTAGAGTACCACACACCACAATGTTTATGAAAGCATTCTTAGAGTTTGTTTGTGTTATTATGTATGAATCTTAGAAACTTTGGTAAATATTTTATTATTATATTACTTAATTACAATATTACTTTACTATTTGCACTAGCACACATTAGCTTCGTGATTTTCACCCAACCTAAACAGATAAAATCACATTTTGACGCAGTATGTAGTAATCGTAGTAAGTCATAGATGTGCCTCATTCTTCCCTACAGTTCTAACTTATGAACTACTCCTAAAATAGAAACTAAACTCCAGAGCACCTGAGTGTCCTGTTTGTCTTACCTGCCATCTCTCTCTGCTGCTCCCCCCTCTGTAATGGTCTTTACGAAGATGCCGAGTTTCTCCAGGCCCTGGTCAGCCCCTACTCCCATTCCTATGATACTGATGCCCAGCCCATTGTCACCTGCAGCAGATGTGAAAGAACACCTCAGTCCCAGCATTTCTCCTAAACTAAAAAGTTATTCTGAGGCTGAAGACAGAGTCACAGAGTGTTGTTCTAGCTCAAGGTAAAGTCTGTAAGATATAGCCCTAGAGTATTTTAATATATGAGAAAGCTGTCAAAGTGACCTACCTTTCTCCATCTCCACCGGAAAGACATCCATCTTTTCCACACGCTTTTCCAGCTCGTACTCCGCAGATGCTGCCACAGGGTCCACCTCATCATTGCGCCGGTCATAGTCCTCATTTGAGTATGTGCTGAATACCTGGATAAGACACAGTAACATGAGACCCACTGTCTATTTACAGGACACTCCTACCACCAAACCAATTTTCTTAAACCAACATTGAATGACCTTTAATTTCTTGCTTATTTTTATTAAAAACTAACTATTAACTATTAACTATTCATTTGAGTCTAAAACTTAAACATTTTATATCAGACTATCACATAATTCAAGTTATTAAAACACAGGATATCTAAATTAGCTAGCTACAGTCTCAATGAGTCAATCCCATAATCATTCATCTTATAACATTAATAAGGTAACTGAGGCTGGCTGTGTAAAGACAACCAGTTCATTTAGCTCAGTCAATGGAGCTACTGTCCACCACCATCACAGAGATCAAGACAGATGCAGTAATCCTTTAGCATTTATCGAAAACAGAATTGCTGAAGCACGAAAAGATGCACACAAGTCATTGTAAAGTAATAGTGAGCTCAGACTTGGCAGAATTGGTTTGATAAAAACAAACCCTGGTGCGTTTCCTGTGTTAGTAAGCTTTGTTGGAGCAAGTGTGAACGAGGTCATCCAACTCTGGGGCACACCAAACTAGTGGACCGAGACTCCCTGAGCAGGTTGGTCCCGGTTTGCTTCAAAACAAGTTCTGATTCAGATTCAGTTATTTTCATTCCAAAATATGTTGTACATGAAGGGAATGAAATGAGATACTCAGGTCCCAGTTTGGGTAGCAGAAATTATTGAGAACTATTAATATCACACTGTTGTTTGGTGACTTGAGGAGATAAGCGTTTTTTTCTAGACAGCAAAAAGTTGACCATACCTCAAGTAGGGGCTAACTAGGCCACACCTGAAGGGGTGAATGTATAAGCATAACAAAGCTTTATAAAGATCCTGTAAACCAGCTCTGGCTACATTTTGGACTGACAATCTTACTATATTTCACCTTGGTTTGTGTGTGACTAAGATCCTTTTAGTAAATTTCAGAGGACATCTTGTGGTGAAATGTGGTCGGTAACTATGCTGTTATTTTTGGATTGGTTCATATCATGATTAGTCATGGTCTCAAACCTCACAGTACTTGGAATATAGTGAAATAAAGGAAAAAAAACTGTTTTGGACAAATTGATCCTGTTGTTTTCCAGTAATAAAACCCAAAGAGGGTTTACAAGCCCAAATCTCTAAAAACACTGACTTTCTCTTCAGACTACAAAGCCAAGGCAAAACTCTTTGCCAGTACTACTCCACTGCCTATTGTCTGGTTTACAAAGTCACTCTGCCTCTCACTAACAGGATCTGTTCTGCAAGTGCTCTCCAGCTGTTGAGTAATGTGCACTTCAATAGATTAAACCCATCCTAAGTATGAACTAAAGAGCACAAGAGCAAGAAAGTGTGAGTGAAAGACCTAAGTGAGGAGTCCAAAAATGTTGGAACTGTATATGAAAGTATATTTGTAAATCCAAATTTATCAGTATTTAAATGTTTGTTGTTTATCTAATCAACTCTTTTTTGTTAAATATTAATAAGAACTTAAATTAGTGCTCATTTAAGTGCTGTAAAAAGAGATGTGTCCTTCAGTCGGCGTTTGAAGACCGCAAGCGTCTGCTTCCACCACCTACGTGCCAGGAGAGAAGAGTCTTGATGCTTGTCTTCCAAGCATCTTTAAGGATGGCAGGTCAAGCCAAGCTGTACTTGAAGCTCAAAGGGCTCGAGGTACAGTTCGAGTTTTGACCAGTGCCATAAGGTAGGGAGGGGCTGGTAATTTTTGTGTTAGTAGGCAAGCATCAGGGCTTTAAATCTGATGCAGACAGCTACAGGAAGTCAGTGAAGGTAGTGCAGGAGTAGAGTGACATGACTGATTAAAGAAGACTGAAGACAAGCCGTGCTGATGCATTCTGGTTGAGCTGCAGAGGCCTGATGGCCCACATAGAAAGACCAGCCAAAAGAGAGTTGCAGTTGTCAAACCTTGAGATGACAGACTGAACTAGCACCTGGGTGGCCTCTCCACAGAGAAAGGGTCAAATCCTCCGGAAGTTGTACAGGAGAAACCTGCATGACCAAGTCAGGTTCGCAATATGAGCTGAGAACGATAACTGGTCATCCAGAATCACACCAAGGCTTCTTGCCTATTCAGAAAGTATGACCAAAGAGTTCTCGAATTAGGTGGCAAAATCATGGTGAGGACCTGTAGTTCCAGGGAAAAACAGCAGCTCTTGCTAGGACTGACACTAGTTAAAAATGCATCAGCGAATAATCCAGCAGTTTAAGAACAGTGTTTCCTCAATGAGCAAAAGGACTGCAAGGTATTTCACCCTCTACGGTGCGGTAATATCAAAAGATTCAAGGAATATGGAGAAATCTCTGCACTTAAAGGGCAAGACCAAAAACCACAAGCCTGTGACCTTTGATCCTTCAGATGGCACAGCATGGCACAGGGAGTATTTTGATAAAACCCTTGTCAATGTCCAGAAACACTGCTCCTGAAATAGATTGATGCAATATGTATTTTGCTCTACAAGTCAACTTTTTAGATCATTTTAGATTGTTTATGGAAACAATGAACATTGTGTACTCTGAGTAAAAAAAATAAAGAGACCTCCAGACTGTTACCAGCATAAAGTTCAAAAGCCAGGGTGTGTCTTGGTATGGAGGTGTATAAAAGTGATAAAATCACCTGGGTAACTTGCACATCTTTAATGCTGAAACATACGTACAAATTTTGGAGCAACATATGCTGCCTTCTGGACGATGTCAAAAATTGTGTTTTTGTGCCGTTTTTGAATTAATACAGGTCAAACAGATATACTGATCACTGCTTTCTGTTTTTACTGGCATTTCACATACTATCCCAACCCTTCCAGAACAGAGGTTTGTAGATAAAAAGGAAAGAAGAGATTGAGATTAGTTGATTCATTTAGAAGGGATGATGTCATTCAGTAAACATTTCCACTCAGTCAGAGGGAGGGTTTCTTGAGCATGTCAAGGCTTGAGCTTGAGCGTATGCACACACATACACATCTTTCTATGGTGTTTAACTGCTGATCTGAAACCTGTTAAATGCATGTGTGGTCATAATGCTCATTATTACTACAGAGGTTAGGGAAACTAGGTTCTAGACCATCATACAGCAGCACCCTTTACCTACTAATCCTACTGCAGTGCAGAACCAAAGCTACATGCAGACAATGACAATAGTGCAGCAGGAACCTCACACACAGATTTGTCTGTCTCCATACAAGACTCGCTTGGCTGCTGATCCGAGACCAGTTTATTATCCAAAATCAGGCCATGCAGAATGGTTTGCTTGCTAAGGATAAGGCTTAATATGAGTCCACAGTACTGAAGGCTATGATTTTAGCAATGGAATTGGTCCTAGATCAGCACCCATTTACAAAACTAACCTCCAACCACTGTAATTCATGTAAAGAGCAGAACTAATCCACTGGGTAACAGAGAGACACAGTAGGCCTGTGCATTTCTGTGGTGGAGGGCGGAAGCCAGTCACATAAGAGGTCCTTTTAGTGCTGCTTCAGTCAGCCTATCCTCTTCCTCAGACTGAAAAAAGCAGTTCAGCTTCCAGAAACAAAAAAAATCTCTATTTACTATAAACGTCAATGTCTCTCCTCACCTACACACAAATACACCCCAAAAGCCTGTGTCCTGCCCCCATCTCTCCTTAGACTGCCACAGCTTTGAGACATTTCAATCATCTAGAAGGATGCAGCACATAGCTCCAACACAGAAAATCAAAAAATACGCAATGTATCTTCAACACAGGATATTTAACTCTGAGTCATTTCTTTTTGTTTCAGAGGTAAATTCCCAGTACACAAGTTTGTTAACTTACAGTCTGCAATGAAAATAAAAAAAAAGTAAGAAAAAACATACACTGAAAAGTCATTGAGCAAGAGAATGTCAGAGAAATGAAGGAAAGATGGAAAAAGGCTCAGATTATGGGAATCTCGTTAATTAACTGTAGAAAATATAACAGCAGAGCATATGAGCATTTGATGACTCCCAGGCCTTGGCTGAACTCTTAGTACCACAGTGGTTATGCTTGGCCTGTCTCCTCTCCTCTCCACTCCACTCCACTCCCCCTTTCTTTCTTCCCTTTCTTTTTTCCCCATCCGACTTTCCTGTTGCCATTGACTACTTCAGTAAATTGGAACAATGTTCTTTTTCTTTTCGGTAACCTAATCGTTGAGACTCAGACTTCACAGACAGAAATGTGTCTCTTTGTACGAGACAGAGGGTGAGGCAGCAAAAAAAAAAGAGAGAGCAAGCAAGAGAGGGAGAATGAGAGCGCAGTTATCTCCAGCTCCAGTTACCTTCCAGCGGAACTCTCACACACACCTTTCTCCGACTCCTCCAGGCCCCAGTTCACTCAGTATTTGGAACTTTCTCAAGGTGCAGGTACAGTGAATGACCTCACTCACTGAATATGCAAACATCCGGCTGCTTCACACTCCTGTCAGACATAGACTTTAACTTTGCCCCTACTGTAATCATATAAGAACCCTTTACTAATTAACCCATAAAGCAACAGCAGAATTAAAGGAGTCTACAGTACATAGTATTCAAACACTGTAAAAAGGACATATGGCAAAAATATAGCATGATCCCTTTAGACATTTTAATGATACTCAATATGTATCACAATATTTAGTCCGAGGTTTCCAAACATGTTGGAAGGGAATGTACGAGCAAAACAGCTGTGCAGCCTGTTACTCTGCAGTTTATGCAGCTACTATTCAGTTGCTTAGAGGCTCCCTATCATTTCTTTCATGGCACATTCTCGAAAATACTGACAATACTAATTATGTACCAAAATGAAAATTCTTGGACAAACCAAAGCCAAAATTCAGGGCATACCAGGCCAAAAACCAGAAAAAGGTGGTAACAGTTTATTACAGTGTGTAGGCTACAGTATGTGCTACAAAATCCAACATCCACAATAACAGAGAGTGGTTGCTCATCTAAGGCAGTGAATTCCATTATTTTTTAATTAAACTTTTAGTTATACT